TCGGGTACACACGTTGGAGACCACCGAGCTCCGCAAGAAGAACAACATTCTCAAGGAGACCGTGGAGAAGCTTGAGCGACATGCCAGAACCGCCCCTGCTCCCTCGAACCTGGCCAACGAGTTCTCCGACTTTGAGAATCTGACCATGAGCAACAGCCCGTGGGAAGACTTCACGATGGTCAACAGCCTGTCTCTTGACTCCGATCCCGTCGCTTCTGCTCCCACCGGACAGCCGTCCTCTCTTGTGTCGACGAACGACCGGAGCGCCGAGAAGTCCAACGACTATCCGTTCAGCTGGAACGCTTTCTACATGTGCCTCCTCTTCGGTGCCTTCATCGCCTCCAACAACAACAACGCGGTCTCTGCCCGCGCGATTCCCCAGTTGTCGGAAGAGTACCGGGCCGAGTCGGCCAACGTTCTACGGGCCGTGTTGTCTTCCTCCCCGCCCGAGCTCGCTCACCCCATGGGCCAGGCCGCCGTCGCTTCGTCGTCGGCTGGTCCCCTCCCGACCACCATCAGCGGAGCGGAGATGGCTCAGATGTCTGCCGGTACCGGTCACTCCAACTTGGATGAGCTTCACAATGCGCTTGCGATGCCAACGAAGGAGCAAGAGCAAGAACAGGTCTTTGCTCTGAACGCGGACCAGTACAATTCTTTGACCACCTACGAGGACACCAATGTCAACTACAAATCTCAGCAGCCCTCCAACCTCCAGCAGGCGCTGGCTGCCATGCGCGGTACTGCGCCCGGGAGTAAGATTCCCGGCAAAAGCACCTCGGATGTCTACTCGAGGTCGCTGATGTGGGATCGCGTTCCCGAGAAAGTGATCCGGGATTTCCGCCGCATGGTCCAGGATTATGGTGCTCCCCCCGTCAAGGAAGAGGAATCGGGCTTCGGTCAAGCCTGAATAGTTTCAAAAAAGAAAATTTCACCCGATGCTATCGAGATCTGACCGTATACTGCCCATGTCCGACTTACCCTCACCTTGTTCAGAGCAAAACGTTCCTGCCTAGCCTTTCTTTTCGAGCAAAACAAACAACCTGACCGGCCTATGAATTCTCCTTTTTTTTTTTTTTTTGGTTCGCCTTTGCCGTCTTCTGTTCGTTTACCAGAATACTTACTTGCACATTGTGCCTATCGATACGCGACTATTGGCCAACTTAAGCCAGAATTAGCCATATGCATGCATAGACAGCTTACCATTTACTTCGACTGGATATATGACCTTTAACGGGCTAGCTTTTCATGACTGCGTCTGACGAATTAGCGATGTGTTTTATATGTTTTCGCACTCCTTCGGATTATTTCGGCGTACATTTGATCTTTTATTCTTCGGGACCAGGGCCGAGGAAATGAATTTAACGGACCGATCAGAACATTTTGCATTTCTGTGTATATTGCTTTGGATTTCGATCTCGGTCTTTTTTCGGACCACTTTTACTCTCTTGTTTATTCTTGCTCTTTCTGGGGAGGTACGAATTGGGCTACTCTGAACTTGTTGACCACCAGTAACACGGTACCACGGAACGGGTTTTGACTTTGACCTCTGAACATTGCATTTGGGTTTTTGTGTACTTGGGATTTTGTGTTTCCGCGTTTAGCCTTTGATTTTTCTGCTGCATTTTGCGAGTGGGTTGGATTTTGGCCGAGGGCGGCATTTCTGCTATGATTGTTATGATACGACTGATGTCTACGATGGGAACGTCTGTTAATGTCTTATCTGTTTGATGATTTTGTTGTTTGTTGGACAGCCGGGCTGCCATGTCCGGGATGGTCCTGTGAACCTTTTACGATCTTTTCACTCTCCTTTGTCTGATACTTCTTCTTCGAGGCCATTCCAGAGGATTGGATTTGGCCCCCTCTTTACACACATGGCTTTCTCAAGCCATATTTGGGCTTCGGTCTGCGCCACTCTTTTAAGAAATTACATTTCATATGTTTCTTCCTGTTCATATGGCTCTTCTTGACTGTACTGTATATATTGACAGACGATATCTACGATGATATGATCTGGTCTGATAATGAGCAGTAATATACCATAATACATTGGTGATGATCTTATCATTTGCCTTCCTCTCGATTGGAAGGAATGGGATCTGCTTCCCGTCTGCAAGAATAATATGAAGTCCCAGCATTTAGCCTATAATATCTAGCCGTGACTGACTGAGTACGCCTTTGTGTATAGGTATGAAAATACCCGAGATCGAATGTATAGCAAAGAGATGATGAGTGGAATGTGAAACCAGAATTGCCTTAGAGCTACAAATCTGCAGCTCATCTGTCCGAAGACGAGATGACCCGGGCTGATTCAGCTATACATTGATCCCAGAACAAGTAAGTCACAAGGACACATAGAGTCTTGTGCTTTGATGAAGTCTTCGCCCGGAGCCAACACATTCTGCGTTTGGAAGAAGTCAAGATCCGGCAGTTTGAGGTCTAGCTCAGGGAATGTCACTGATCCGGTCAGATCTGCAGGGCCCACGTTGGAGAAGGATGCATTGGGTTGATTAGCTGAGGTGAATTGGATGTTGAACTTCAACGTATCTCCTGAAATAGTCGCAACTGGGGTCGAGTTCTATCATTCTTAGCTTCAATTCCTTCTGTATGATGGCAATCTGAACGGAAGATAAACTCACGGCTTTGATACTCCCTGTGATTTGAGAAGTATACGGTCCACCATGATCCCCGTGGATTGGATCAAAGGTAGTGTAAGATAATTTCACCGATGCATTGTCCCAAACCCACTTGTAGTGAGATGTCAGCGGCGTTCCGTCGTCGAAAAGGGTTAGGATCAAAGGATATTTATCCCAATCCACAGTGATCTCTCCACTGCCTTCAATAGGCCAGCCGCCGTGATTCATCGATTCGCCTTCCCAGACTTTGTCGGATTTGAACTTCAGGTGAACTGTTGGATTCGCAGACGCCTGATTGCCAGTCACACCGCCGTTACTCTGCAATGTATCCTTGCAGCTCTCTGCAATCTGTTTGACAAGATAGTCATCGCGAATGAGCGTTTGAGAGAGAATAATACTCGCTTCGTAGCCCTCGGGAATGGCCGCGATGCCGCTGTCGTGAGTCAATTGGAACTGGGGTGCTTCGGCCGTTCCTTTGCCACTGCCGCCTTTCACTTGGATGAAGATGCTTAGAACACCTTCAGTCGCGTTGAACCTGAATTGCTGCGGCTGCAGAAAATCCGAAGTCTGATCTTTCGTGTTCTTGACTGTTCCGAGGGTGAAGGTGAATCCCTTGAACTCTTCCTTGTTCATCAACGCGTGTACCAATTCCGTAAGGCTTTCGTTGAGAGGATCACTCGAACTAGGCGTTGTGACGGACCAGTCTGTGTCCTGCGCGTTCTGGAAATGAAGGATGACCTTGTAGCTGGACTCGGTATTGTCATTGAACTCGAAGATTTCATCGCTAGACTATATGGCGGTTTCTTTTAGTATGGCCTGCACAGAACCGGTCCGAAGACTCTGGTGACATAGACAAACTAAAGACTGACCTTTGCCGTGCTGGTATCGGTCGACTCCCCATCCATAGCAGACACTGGTGTTACCACCTCTAAGTATGTATCTTGATCCTTGCCCACATCGTCATCGGTGGAGGCAACAACGTTGCCTTTCACATATACGTCAGTATGCAAGGTGCCCGACATTTTCCACGACAGGGCGGAGACAGCAATGTCCCCATGAGTTGTAGCGATCGATTTGAACGATAAATTTGGGGCTTCGAGGGTCAGGTCATACGTATATATAAAATACGCACTATCAGTCCCAGATTTATGCTGGAAAGAGACCTGAGCCGCGTCGAATCTCTGAGACCAATACTTTTTCAACAAGGCATTCAGCTTGTCCTCCGAGTAACTGACAATCACATCCCAGCCATCAGTAGTGGTTCGGTTGTAATCGACCAGGCTCTGGTGGAAATCGGCTCTGGATTGGAATACGGTTGGCATTGTGTTCGACTTGGGGTTCTTCAGAGCAATGAATGAGATTTGATCGGTTTGGCGAAGTGATGTTAAGGAAAGTAGTTTCATCGAAGCAAGAGGATTGGCCCTATAAATACTTGACCGATTCCCATCAACCTACCCTGGAGGTTTCTGCGGAGACGCACAGGGAAGAATGACGATATCGTCTCATCTAGCGAGACCTCACAAGAGCTGAGAATCAATTCTCGGCAGCTGAACACCCACCCCTCACTCAATTGCAGTCTAGACATGAGGGCAATTTGAACCATGTCTTCTATAACCAATGATATCAGCAACGGGGATCTCGGAGGGGGAGGAATTCACCACTTTGGTTCACTACCGATGATGCTCGAAATGGCCTCTTCAGCTCCCCGAGTCATTTCTATTAAGAACCCACCTTTACCCTGGACATTACGTAGAGTTGCCCTCTTGCCACCGCAAACATTCTAAATATCTTGCCACTGATACGCCTTTTGCCTTTTGGAAAAGAACCTGTCCTCAGCTGAGATTGACGCAAGTCGGTTCTCGGTGCTGTGCGCGGAACGCTTTTGACATGGGTTAACAAGTTCTCAAGATGGTCTAGACACTGGTTACACTGCTACGTAGTCGATCAGCGGGCCGAAGATTACGCGTTTTATATTAAGGTATGGTTTTGAAGGGTCTGACATTCCATCGTTTGGGTTAGTCCCGGGCGTCCTTTTCAGCTGGGGCGGGGTGATGCAGGGATGCAATGCAGGTGATACATAACTGTGTAAGCATGCAAATTTGACAATTCGCCACCGCAGACACCATCAGATATCGAGATCAACTGAGCTCTAGTTCTCTCGGAATGCAAGCGACCGCGAATCCGGAGGCGCAACGCCTTGACGGATGCAACGATTTCAACGGGATTTAAGAACCCATCAGATCGAGCAATTTCGACCTCTCCAGGATACTAAAGACAATCCAAAATTCTCTTTCCACCGGCCAGGAAGCCCAGTTTTGATTTGAATCACGTCATCGCTTTTATCGCTCCTCTTCTTCACATTTCACAATGAATCCTGATATTATTGAATATCCGCTGGCAGAACCATCCATTATCCTTTCGGTGTCAGAGGATGCGTTCGCACCCAAAACCGGGTTGCAGGTTCCAATCTCGCTGTATGTCGAAAAGTTTTCTTTAACGGAGGATCTTGTTGCAGAAAACGACGATGACAAGAATGAGGAAGGCACTGGCGCCGCCGCCGCTGCCTTCCGGCTGTTCACTCATCAGATAGACATTCCTAAAGGATCGGATGACTATGTCTCACTGGGAGTTATGGGCAAAAATGGCACGTTGAAGCATCCCAAAGGCGCATCGGGCGGGAAAATTGAGCTGTATGTGGAGAGCCTTCCACTGGACACCGCAAGAAGGATCCAGATTAAGGGTATAGTACGCTCTCCGCTATGTATAACCCTTACTAACGATTTCTCTCTCCTCGGGTTGTATAGTTCTCGGTGGTCACGGTTGGGATGGTATCTCAACTGCGGAGGATAAACCCCCCGCCAATGGAGGTGACGGAGGTGACGGTGGACATGTCACTGTGCTCTTGGGGCGGATCCTCAGCCAAGCAGTGATCATCACGGAGTCGTTGTTAACGGCGCTCAATAGCGATGGAAGCGAATGGCCAGTTGATTTCCGGGACACCGTCCGTTCCTGGATCAGCACGATGAATGAGGCCGACGTCCAAGAGGTTTATGTCTTACCATCCACCATGCAAGATGCGAGCCAGGTCCTCGATGGAACGAAAGCTGATTTCAATCGGGAAGTAATCACGGCCTATCAGAAGCTTCTCACGAATGAAGAATCAGTACTCTCCCAGGTGACCAAGAGCATCAATGTCGACGGGGGAACGTATGGAGTCGGAGGGACCAGTGCCCAGGGCCAAGGGACCAGCGGCAATAGTGGCTCCAGCGGTAGGCAGCACTCCTTTTTTATCGATTCAACCTCGACAGTCACGGATTCCACCGTCTGCTACCTACATCCGGTAGAATGTCGAATGCTTCTGGACAAGGCAAAGGCTCTTCTATTCTTAAACGCTGATGGCCAGAAAGTAAAAGCCCTGCAGTACCTCCAGCAGCTTCAGCAACGACTATGGTTCTTGGGAGACCCCTCCTGTCCGAATGATCTGTCCGATACCAATCTAGGACAGGCATATCGAAGAGCGGAAGAATCTCTGGCGGTGGTTTCAGGGCCAGAGGAAGAGGAACCGGCATCCATACAACAGCTCCGATCAATCTACGACCAGGTTGACAAAACCATAAAGATGCTTGTTGCTCCCCAGGACACGTTTGGAACCCAGAATCTCAAAGTTCCTCGTGGATCATTTGCCTTTTACAAAGAGTACGCAGACAAATTTCTTGACGACCTGAAGGTGATTGAGGACACATATTTGGGGTACCTCAACGACGATCTCTCAAGCGAGCAGAAAACCCACGCAATTCAACAAAGGGGCTCCATGTGTGACTCCTCCAAATCTCAGATCGAGAATTCGATTGTGGCGCTGAGAAACGCTCTGACAGCGATCGACTCCAAGATTGCAGTGGCTCAGGAGGATATGAGGATAGCCGAGGCACGTTTAATATCAAGCATCGCTGATGTAGAAGATGCGATCAAGAATGTTTTCAAATTCAGTTTCGAGGATCTTCTCAAAGGAATCACCCAGGTTGTCTCCATGAAAGACGATTTTATATCCTTGCTTGGCACCATCAACGACGGCACCAAATGGGCCTACGATCATCTATCGCAGATCTCGAAAGACTCTGGGATCAACATCAACAAAGGTTATCTTCTACACTCGGTCACCCAGATTGAGGGGTCTATTGAGGACCTGCATGAAGGGTACACCATCTTGGCCGACGGAAACGCTCAGTTCGATGACCCAGGGTGTGCAAAACTGGTTTTGTTGGAATCAGACCTGAACAAGCTCCTCGCGGAATTTAGTTCTGCGCTCGGAGATGATCGTCTCAAGCAAGTCAAGGTCTGTTTTGATCGATATGTTGGTGAGTTATATACGCTGTTGCTACTCCATCACGTTCCCTCTCACAGCAATGTCGTGCTCATGTTCATTGATTCTAGAAACCACACAAGCCCGCAACTCGGCGGTCATGGACTACAGCGCGGACATACAGCAGCTCATCAACTACCTCAGAACTGGTGATTCTCTGGATAGTCAGAAGAAGGACATAGTTCGTGACGAGTATAATGTCCTCGGGCTAGAACACCCAACATTGACCGCGTTCATGCGTACGCTATACACCAATTCCCTGGCCAGTGTCCAGCTCTGGTTGGAAAAAATGCAGCAGGCCTATGCATTTGTCACTCTGGACGAAACCAACATCATCGGAAACGCAATGAATGGGTTCCAATTCTCCCAGTTCACGTATAGCATGTTGACCGCTGTCAGCTCGGATCTGGATAACTACTATGCCCAACGGGTCGAGTCCTGGGGCCAGTCAATGCAGACACTCAAGGGTGTCACATTCCCAGTCTACAATGTCAAGCAGGACATGCAAACATTCACAGACAACAAGTCTACCATTCAAGTTGCGCTCACGCCCGAAACAATCAACCCCACAACCGGTGGGCTCATTTTCGGAGAAGGCAGAGTCGATATCCGATTGACAAATGTTCGTTGTTTCATCGACGGCGCAAAGACAGACACTGGGTTTCTGGACCTCAACCTACTGCATACCGGTCAGGAGGCCATCGTCGATGAGACAGGCACGGCACATACCTTTGATCACCAGCCTGTCGTGACCAATTTCCGCTATGTGATCGAGGATAAGGATCATACTGGGCCGGGAACGGTGGATGGTGTCATCGGCACTGTTTCTGATAATGATCCATATGCTATGGTTGGGCCATTTACTAAATGGCATGTCGTGATTAATCATGCGAACAACCCCGGGTTGGATCTGTCAAATGCCAAAGACCCGTATCTGGAGTTTGACATACAGTTCAGAGTACGAGCGTAAAGCATATGTCAAGGTTTCCTGGTCGTGTTACTGAAACTAGTGCCGGTGTATTGGAGATAACGTCTTTGTCCCCAGATAGATAGTGATTCTTCGGACTCTTGCCACTCAACTTCCTATTCCTTAGATATACAGATTAGCAATATAGCGCTGGGTCCCGGAACCCACGCCAAATAAGGAAACTCTGTTTTATTCTTCCGTGGAGCCATCTTGGTGGTTAGCAAGACAAACCAGGAGAAATCAAGACAAGAGCAGGATAGAATACGGATGGGCGTCTATTAGAAAAACTCCTCATGGTCCTGAAAGGGCCATCCCCGCTTGATCTTTTCAAGCTCGTCTGCACTACCACCTTCAGAAAACCCTGCTCGAAGGGCTTCGTTTCGTTTGACAGCGTAGTCGTACTGCTCAGTACGAACCCACCCTTCTTCTGACAGGCCACCTAATTCATTCCGTCAATGACTGACAAGACCGTTTAGATTATACCACATTGACTCGTTCTTGGTTTGCTCTTCAATCTCCTCTTCGGAAAACGAAATAGGGCATTCCATATTTCCCATCTTTGCCTGGAACATGGAACTAGATGTCACGCATACGCATCAAAGCTCCTCGCAGTGTCATGAGTTTGCCAGACCATTGGCGGCCGGCAAAATCGACAAGATGCTGACGTGACAAAACCAAGGGATCTTGTAGGGCTTGGACATGCACTTTATTGAGGCCCCCATTAAAGACACGATATAGGTAGAAGAGACTTTGCCGACGGATCAACTCATCAACTTGAGCCTTATCTTCGGGACTCAGTACGTTATATTTTTCTGGGTATTTGGGCGCAACTAGTCCTGTTGGGGGTTTGGGGTCTGGGTTCTCGAATAGCCTCGGATAGCCAGCGGCGAGAAGCAATGAGGTGACTACTGTATGTTGCCAGACAATAATACACGTGGGATTAAACGTGTCTGGACAAGCAAAGACATTGCTGGGAGTAAGATCTATGGCGTTAAGAATCCGTCAGAAGCACGATTGGAAAGAAGCACAATGAACATACCAGGGTGACGTAGAGTCGGTCGATTCAGAAGATCTCTCGGGTCTTTTGGAAGGGAGGGTGGAGCAATTGCCAGATACTTTTTTAGGAGTATCGAGTAATCCTGTTGGGAATTGACACCAGGAAGATATTGTGTGGGAAATCGCACTCAATTGGCTTCCCAAATTGTTCAGTCCATTGGATTTCTTTATTGGCAATGGCGAGATATTGACTTGGGTTAGTCCCTGTAAGAAAATCAGCAATTCAGGCGTATATTTTCGCTTCGATAAGAAGCATACATGGTCCCCTATCCAACTCAAGGTTCGCACGCTGCCAACAGAAGCAAAGGGTATACTAAAAAGTTTCTTTTCAATGTCGACGATCCCTATCACCAATGCTTTTTTTTCTAATATTCCGTCGTATCAAATCAAACCAACCCCTAAGGCATGCTCCATGATAATATATTCAACGCCAACACTATTCTCGTCCGTGGAAGACCACCCGTAGACTTCTGGTACGGGGATACCCTTTGAGCGAAGGAATGTAAGCGTTGCGACTTCACTGGCGGTGGCGTACGTCTTCGGAACGGTTATTTTGTATAGGATTTTGATGACTGCCTTGAAACCGTCTTCCATAGTGGCCAGAAGCACACGATTGAAATCACCTTCGCTTAATCTGGCAAGAGACTTGACGTTTCCGTGGCTAACATGCTTCTTGATAACGGTTTCAAGTGCGGCAATGTCGAAACTGACATGTCGTTCACTAAGTCGCGCACTCTCATTGTATAGAAACCGGCCAGACGTATGTGAAAAGGGTTCGTCGGGTATTGGACCTTGATGTAATTAAGCTGTGTATCAGGTAAAGGGTGCTTCTAAATAACCCTGAGACATTCGGCATGAATTCGTGAGTTTCCTCAGACTACAGCGGAAAGAAGATGGATAAGTCTGCAGCGTGGATAGCCGAAAGCTAGAATAGGGACGAATATTCCGGGCAAACATTGATAAAGAGTTTAGATTCTTTGTCTCTGCCGATTCAGAAGTGTTGCATGTTGCAGGGGGTGATATGAACATGGAAGCAGACCTCGGGCGGTGTGACTGCTTGATCATAGGTAATCTCCTTCACCACGACTGCGAAGTATACCAAGGGGACAGACTACTAGCTATTCTTTATTTCTATACTTTAATCGCCCTAGTCACCCTAAAAGAAAGTACAAAAGAGAAATAAATAGAAATAAAATCAAATTCAAGCCTCCCTAATGATCTTGAATAATCTCTAAAGAGCCCTATAATAATTGGAATCCTTGAAAAATAATACATACTGGCATAGTAAAGTTAGTTATACAATAAGGAGATACATATTCCGAAAACAGACAGCTATAGTATTTTAAGAGTTCTTCTGGTGGATTCTTTATAAACCGCATTCCTATATAGGAAATGGGCTGTCCCCTTAATTCCGACCACTTTGTGGTCGTATGTACTTGAATAACGTAAACAGTGCAATATGTAGGAGGAACAGAGTAGAGCAAGCATTGACTTCATTGTTCTTTGCTTCATTGTAATATAACTTTTTTTTCTTAGAAAAAAATGCTGTCGGGCAGCTGGTTTACTATCGCACTTTTGTTCACTTGTGTAGTTGTTTATTAATTTATTTTCTCACCTAGAAGGTATTGACTACAAATGTACGGAGTAGGTCCACAGAGCCTACTAAGCAGCCTGACCATGACAGGCTAATAATAACAGCCAGCCTCTCTCGGGTTTCACGAGGGAAAAAAAAAAGGCGCAGGAAGGGGGCATGGATGAGCACGCGATTACGGAGAAAAAAAAAAGCAAACAAAAGCAAATAAATTTTAAAGTTAAGTCTTATTTTACCATGTAGAAGTGGGCTGCAGTCCAAAATGAGGCTGCTTGGATCGGATTGGGTCATAATTCCATTATTCATCAGTATGGCCGATACCTAGGATGGTAATAGCTAGATAGATAGTAAGATCGGGGTGAGATGGTAGGAAGATGGTAACACGGCGTCCCAGTGATAGTCATAGTGACCTCAATTCGCAATTGGACCGCATGAGAAGCCAGGAAGGAAAAGAGGGTCCGGGTCCAAAAATCCCTTCGTGAAACCAAAATAGAAAAATAGAAAAGAAATCGTGAAATATCCAATGATGCTGTCTTTTCGCATGGTCGCGTCAAATGATAACGTTGAACGGGTTGGGGCCTGAGATGTGATGACGCGAGCCGACGAGGCTGCGAATCCTCCAGGGTCGCTAAGCACTCGCTCCGCTTAGCTCCATACACACACGAAAAGTTTCACTTGGGATTGTATTTGTCCTTCCAGATCCTGTAATGGAGTAGCCGAACGTCATGTCAGCCTGAGATGATCGCACTTGCGATAATGTGGATTGAAGAGGGAAGTGGAGAGGGAGGAAGAACGATGGGATGTGGTTGGCGGAGGGCGTGATGGCGTAGTGCATGGCGCAGTTCGCAGACATTGCCTGTCCGCCTATCGATTCAACCGGCGTCGCTGCTTCCCAAACATGATATCTGCAGGTGATGGAGAGGAGAGGTGCAGATCATGGGTTGTTTCCAAACGAGGCGCTGAGCTCATCACGCTTGAGGGATATGCAGGACCGAAGGTAAAATGGGACGACAATAAAGGATCGGCTGGTTTGTTGGCACTTACCATGAATTCCCAACTAATTTGTTGCCTTTGTCTTCGGCCAATCGGTAGTATTTGGCGGCCGCATACTAATTTGAAGCGATCCATAGTTAGTTTACTAATAAAAGATGCGTAGGAGGTGAAGGACAAAGCGCACGGGTGATGCAAGTCTTGTGAAAGGAAAAAGGTATTGATGCCCAAGACTCGCGGCGACACGAGGCATTTCTCCTCAATATCGCTTTTCGGACTGGAAATAGAAGCATGACGCAAGCAAATTTCTTACCTTGTCCTTTTTCCCCCCAAAACCCTCAACGTAACACCATGCCGTTTCATTCATGGCATCTGTATCGCCCAGATTGGCGGCCGTCTCAAAGTACTGCCGTGCAGCCGCAGGGTCTTTCTGGACGCCCCAACCATTACGAAAGCAGTTGCCCAGCTCGAAAATCGCGAGAACCAGCTCTCCCTTGGCTGCACCGCCTTTTTTGATACCCGCCTGCAGGGCTTGGGACTCGATCGAGGCGGAGTTGGACGCCGCCGCCGAGAGATATGTGACCGCTTTGTCGGGATCTTGAGGGCAGCCCCAGCCATGTCTGCGAATCAACTATTAAGATCGTGCTTAAAATCTCTCGAGATGTCGTAAAAACCGAGGTCGATTGAAGAGAGCCAGGTAGCCTTACCTTAGGGCTAGGCCGTAGAGCACTTGGCTGAGTGCATTATTGGCACCCGTAGGCTCTGCCAACCGGCGAAACATTTCCGTTGATTTTTCCAAATCTATAATTGACACATATCAGCATCGCCTTGTAGCTGATATCGAGTCATTTTCTCTTACCGCCGGTCTCGTGAAGTCGAATCGCCTCTTGCACATCAACCTGAACACTTTGTCAGAACTCGCCCTCATAAATCCAGGCTAATTTCCAGAAGAGACTTACATCTACCTCCCGATCCATGACTCCACTATGGCTAGAGCTCCTCGACCGTGATCCGACGCTACTCGGTCCAAAGCCCGACGAGGTCGACGACAAGGGCCCCGCGAACTGCGGATTGCGCTGAACCAGCATCGTAGCCCTTTTCTCCCATTGTGCCTCCATTTCTTGCTCATTGCCCCTGTCGCCCGTAATCTGAGGAAGGTCCGCAGGGACGTTGGCCGAGTTCGCGCTCGAATTGCGCCGGTCTCGATGAAGCAAATGCGACAGGCGGCGTTCTCCGCGCGTTCGCGACGGGGACGATGATCCTTGCGATTCGGACGGAGATCGCGAACGATGGAAGGGATTCAATGAGCGACGATGTGACGAGGAGCTCGGTCGCGAGGGTTCAAGGTATGGGGCATGGTCGTGGTCTCCGTCGTAGACGGGTGGCCGGATGAGTTCATGCGTGGTGGTATCAGTTCGAACGAAGGTGATATCAGGCACCGGGCCTACGGTCGTGGTAGGAACGCCTGCCGCATACTGCGCGCTGCTATCGCTAATCTTGTCTTTCTTCTGGAGGATCTCTCGCAACGGCATGATGGCGACTGCTGTTTGTTGCGGGGATTCAGCGGGAGTGGATACTCGGCAGGTGCTGGAATTGCGCTGATTGGGTTGGACTTCCCACAGAATGCGAGGAATCGAGGTGGAAATGCAAAGATAAATCGGCTTTCCAAGGCAAACAAGATAAAGGGGTAGACTTGAAGTAGATGCCAGAACACAAACATCTCAGCCCTGCGGACTAAATAGTAGCAAGGCACAAGCGCTGAGCCGTGGCTGTGCCGGAAGGCTCATTGTCTAATGATTGATTTGCCCGTCGCAATTTGACATCCATGGTTGAACGGCGTCTTGGCCCCCTAATGTTTCCGTCCTTCTTTCCCATTTTTGTTTGTGCCTGTCGCACTGGGGAATTCCGGAAATCCCTTTGACCTTGTCATTCGTCCGGGTGGACTTCTGGCCCTTTCCTTTGTTTCGAAGAATGAAAGAGGGGAATTCATGGTTTTGGAGTCAATCGAATCAAATATTTTGTCATGGTAGAGGCGTGGGTGTGACGCACTGGTAGGCGCCGAGTTTCAGGATGACATCAGACGAGAGTGCACTGAAAGGAAAATCCTTCATCTTATCAGCAGCGTCATATGAAAGCAAGAGTAGACTAGACCAGTTATTGATTGCAATGGAGAATGCGAATGCAACTTATGAATGTGTATCCATCGTCGCTCGGTTTGTCAGCATGCATGCAAGGGCCTTTTATGCACAGCAAGAGCCCTTGACGTCGAGTTGATTTTTTACACCAGTGTGCTAGTCTGTGGGCTACTCTGAGTGGGGATTGAGCGGTCTAGTCATAAAGAATCATAAACGCGACGCAGTCCAGAGTAAAGATCGATCTCTATTCAGCTGGACGTGGGTGCAGAACATTTCGGCTACGCAACTCGGAAAAAGGCGGGGACAGCATGAGTTTGCCAATGCGGGCGGCACCAGCAGGGATTCTTTGTAAACAGGTCACTTTATTGAAATAGAAAAATACATAGTACAATCATCTACAATACTCCTGATTTTGATCAGAATGGTATTGGTATGTCTAACGGAGCACAGAAACAGATCCTTAATTTGTACATGATATCAATAGCTGGGAAGCCATTCATGCGAGTCCATTTACTGGGCCTTAGAAGACATGATCCCTGAATAAGAAGAATAATGTAAGATACCGCAATAAGAAACCGGAGATTAATCAAGAACTTACGCTCAACGTCGGCGACGCTCTGCTGGAGGATCTGCTGGAGAACCTTGGGGCTCTCGAGCTCCTTCTGGATCTTGCCGATGATGGTGTCGGCAAGCTCACGCTGCTGGCGCTGCTTAACCTGGCCCTCGTAGCGGACCCAGGAGTCAAGAACCTGCTTGGCCTCGGCGGCCAGAGCGGTACGCTGCTCGAGCTCGTAGGCCTGAGACTCAAGCTGGGCGGTTTCCTTTTTTGAAATTCATCAACAAACGATCCTTATACAAGAACCTACGAGAACAATCGTCCCCGCCGGGCAGAGTTAAGGTGAAGATGTACCTTGGAAACAGCAAAGAGCTGCTTGGTGATGTCAACAACACCGGAGAGCTCCTTGACGTTTTCCATGCGCTGCTGGACAGCGCTGGTGTGGTCGGCACGGGCAGCGTTCAGGATGTCCTTGTGCTTCTGGACCTGACCCTCAGCCCACTCACGGTAAGCGGGACCTCCGTACTTGCCAACGGCAGTGAAGACGCTGAGAAGACAGAAAGCAGCGACGGTCTCCTCGTTCATAACGTAGAGCTCATTGCTGATGGCGGCAACGGAGAGACCGGCGGCGGCGGAGAGGATGGCGGTCTTGGAGACCAGGGTGTTGCCGGGGAGAGAGTCGAGGATAGACTGAGCCTTCTTCGAGGGGTCCTCGGTAGGGACGTTGGAGGCCGAACGAGACACGGTCAAGCTGGCAGTGATAGGAGCGACGTTGCGCGCGGGAAGGGTCGGCCGGAGCCGGGCAGCACCTATTGGGGGGGTTAGCGAATATATAGAGGTTTTCGAGCGGACCGGAAAGTGGTGGTTGCGGCATACCGAAGGCGCTCTTAGCCACACGAGAAGCCATTGTAGCGATGGGGAAGACCTTGACAAGATGGGATGGGTGAACGGAACTGAGGAGACTGAGGTCGGGATGGCGGTTTGGGCGGTGCGGGAAGACACTAGCCCCTTGCGGTCTAGCGCAGCCGACTCGGAAAAACCGTTAGCCGAGGGATCTCCAAAAATTCATGGATGCATGCGTTCTTGGGTAGGAAAGCCCTCACGTCGGCGCGAAAAGATTTTCTAACCGGGTCCCATATTCCTCTCGAACACCATGCCCGCCCCTACGACCGGAGCTGTCAGCTCCAAGAAGCGAAAGAGCGCCAAAGAAACAACTGCCCACTCTTCCAAACGCCGTGCAGTCGCAGATAATGAGAGCGCAGATGCGATGGTCGAAATTCTGCAGCTGGAAGAGCAAATCTCGGAGTCGCGAAAGCATTACAACAACATCGCCAAACTGATTGGGATGCTCAACGTCGAGGAGAATGGTCGGGAACCAAATTTGGCGGTAGCAGTGGCCCTCTGTCGGGTCTTTAGCAGATTGGTTGCTACTGGGGATCTTGGAGAGACAAATCAATCCGCGGAAAACGAGAGAATCATTGCCGCTTGGTTGAAGGAGCGTCTTCGAGAATATCAGAAGGCTCTGGCGACTATCATTCGTGACAGCGATCCTTCCTCTCAGGTTGGTTGATGCAGAGTTGGGTATTTGGGTCTCTGCTAACTGAGTCTCGAATAGATCACGGCCTTGACTTTGAGTATGCGCCTCCTTCGCGAACGTGCAGCACACATTGCCGATGACGATATGCAACTGTGGACATCCGGTTTGTTCAAAAACATCGTCGAGTCCGTCATCGAAGCCAGAGACGGAGAGACGGTGCGGACTGAGTTCCTCGAGAAATTTGCGAAAGAATACGAGGACGTGAGATACCACATGTTTGCGCAAATTGCGTATGTTGCACCTACACTCTCCACCTGGAAGTCTTCTCTGCGATGCTAAACAATACTTCAGGGAATATGCGGAAACGAGAAGACAATCGGAAACCATTGAAACCCTGATCTCCCTCCTCTCGGCCTGCGACAACGTGCCGTCCGCTGAGCACAAGTTCGAAAACTTCTACACCAAGACCAGCAAGAAGAACAAGAAACTCGTCTCGGTCAACGCCCACAAGAAACGCGCCCAGGACGCCTGGATGGCGGTTCTCCACGGCAACATCTCCCCCTCGCAACGAAAAACCCTTCTGCGCACCATGGTCCACTCCATCGAGCCCTGGTTCAATCGCCCCGAACTGCTCATGGACTTCCTGACGGATTCCTACAACGTCGGCGGCGCGACGTCGCTGCTCGCCCTCTCGGGTCTCTTCTACCTCATCCAGGAGAAGAACCTCGACTACCCCCAGTTCTACCAGAAGCTGTACTCCCTCCTCGACGCCAACCTCCTCCACTTCAAACACCGCTCCCGCTTCTTCCGTCTCATGAACACCTTCCTCGCCTCCACCCATCTTCCCGCCACCCTCATCGCCAGCTTCATCAAACGCCTCGCGCGCCTTGCCCTCAACGCCCCTCCCACCGCGGTCGTCGCCATGGTCCCCTTCATGTACAACCTCCTGAAGAGCCACCCCACCTGCACACTCATGCTGCATCGCCCGGTGCGCGACGAGACCAGGAAGGCCGAGCTCGAGGCCGAGGGCATGGACGACCCCTTCGACGCGCAGGAACCCGACCCAACCCGCACCAACGCCCTCGAGAGCAGTCTCTGGGAGATCGAAAGCCTTCAATCCCACTACCACCCCAACGTGGCGGCCATCGCGCGCATCCTAGCCGAGCAGTTCACGAAGCAAATGTACAACCTGGAGGACTTCCTCGATTATACCTACCAGGGTATGTTGCAGGCGGAGCTGGGGTCGGGCGATAAGCCGTTGAAGAGAATCCCCGTGGTGGAATACCAAATACCGAAGCGGATATTCACCGATCGGTTGCTGGAAGAAGATGGTGGTCAGGATACGGCCCCTGGGCATCTGCTTAGGGGTTTGTGGGATTTTTCGTAGACGGTTAAAATATATGTTGGTGCTTTCTTTCTTAGCGTACATAATTACCTAGATTTGTTTTCTTTCACTTGGATAAATAAAAGCATGTTTACCATTATATATTTTATTCTTAGGACGGACCCGAAATATAAAATAGTCAATCATCGAACCAATATGATTATTGCAATAGTAAGTGATTATTCTATTTTTTTCCCCTATGCTAACCTGAAGCCGAGAATTAAACGACCTATCTAATTATAAAGGGTAACAAAGAAGTGATGTATCGCCGGCAAATAAAAGCGCCTTCTGTCTTTCCAATCTTCCAACCAAATACAGATATAACGCCCAGCCCAATCATATCATCGATCACCACGGATCATATCTCCGAGTCGGACGACCAGTCCACCCATCACCATCGATATCCAAAGAGCCCAGAGAGGTGTTATTCGCCGTATACGACCCCAAGGGCATGAACGCTCCCGAAGCCGCCGACGCCCCAGACTGCTGAGACTGCTGGTACAGGTAAGGCGAAAGCTCAACGTAACCGACAGGCTGGCCGATGAAATGATGGGGCCAGGTAGTTTCGTGGGCCTCAGCGACCGAGTCTCCAGGGTGATAGTCGCAGGCGACGTCCAGGGCAAATACGCCGCGCTTCATGTCATCGAACAGATGGTTGCCCACCTTCATGGGAATCATCTCCAGCTCGGCACGCATCCTGTTCAGGATGACCTGCGCCTTACGTCGGCGACGGAGACGCCGCACCCCCACGTCATCTTCCATGCGCTCCAGTAGGTAGAAGATCTCGCGCTCGGAGGTCGAGGATACCACGGCGCTTTCGGTGCGCTGCGTCAGCTGGTGAAGGTCGTGCGAGACAGCCCGAAACAACGTGTCGATTTTAGAGAGCGCCGTGCTGACGCAGGACGCGAGGCTGTGTGCGAAGGGTCGCTCGTACAGCCGGTCCCAGAACCCGAGCCAGTTGTAAAGGCCGATGCGGGACTTGCGCAGTCGGGTGAGCTCGAGGGTCGTGATGACGTTGCGGCAGAGATGAAGGGTGTCGAGGGCCCCGAGTCGAGTCTCTTGGAGCGCCTGCTCCTGCCGTGCTGTTCGTTTGGCGGTGGTTCCGGGCGTTTCTCGGGGCGCGGGCGAGTCTGGGATAGGCGAGTGAGGCTCCTCCACGCCGTTGACTGTTCGATAAAAGCGCTGGGAGAGGTCGGTGGCTGATTGTTCGGGAGGTGGAAATGGTGCCACTGCAGGCTCAAAGATGCTGGAGGGCCCTGGGCCCACTGGAAGGTTGGCTTGCAGCATATCGATCCCAGGGATGTAGAAGGAGGTAAAGTGAGAAAATGAAGTAGATAGATGGAGAGAGATTCAAAACGAATGACAAAATTGGCCGCTTTCAGATAGTAAACGACAGACGGTATACGAGAGGACGAAAGAAAAGAGAATTAACGAGTGACTTGAACGAAGTAAGTCATGGGTAATGATAAAGGGACGAGATCAATAAAGCGATGCCCACAAAATCAGTGAACGGATTGTTGCTAACTGACGGATTGGTGATATGTTCTCGCGCAATTCCATCGCATCGATTTCCTCTCAGATGGATCAGCGGCATCGCAAGAAGCCTACAACGGAAGGAGCGCAGGACCGAAAGGAGAACCGGTCGATTGACGGAGAGAGAAAGGTGAGTGTAACTCCACAGCTGGGGCAGATGTAACGGGGGGCTTCTAGCTTGTTATAGGTCTACTCCTAGGCTGTTCAGTGCAAAATGAGTGTCTTGCACGGTTATGGGAAGTGAAACTTGTCTCATTTCCGCTTTCGGTAACCAGAGATAGGGCTAGAGTGTTACGGTTGCTTTCTTTTCTTTCCCCGGCTCCTTTATTTTTAGAAACCTCAAAATCCATTCTGAGTATAGCTGCAATATTCTCGCTGGCTTCAGTTGTTCCAATGATAAGCCTAGGATGCCAATAGCCATGCATGTTAGACTTCGGACCTGGATAGCTTCACACGTGTAATCGAAGATTAACTATCTGGTTAAACTCTAGAGAATTCCCAAAGAACATTTAATCAGTAAGCTAGTATTTAGATCGCTTCACGTTGCTAGATCCTTTTTTTTTTTTCATGTTTTAATATTTTGTCAGACTGGTTTATTCGTAAGTACATACAAGAAGCAATAGAACACCCGCAGATGGAGGCAAATAGGTTCTTATCTTTGCTTTGTCTGTACCTACCTACTAAATCGAACATGCATAACTGCAAAAACTACATTTTATCCCCATTGAACTTTCATTTACTACTTACTGACTGCTTTCTGAAGAATCAGACGAATTGCGGGCTTGAACAATCGGCACTCAATAGAAAGTGAAACGGGCCCTGGGGAAACAGGCGAAGCTGTCCCAGAACTTTCTGCTGAGCTCACTGCGGACGCTTGCGAGAGGAAAGCCTGCTTGTATCAGTGGAATGCGTGCCAAGAAGCCATTCCCCTATCCACATTCCTGGAGCCAGAAGCGCAATGAGCGCAATTGGAAACCTTGCCAAGAGAATCATTCGAGACTTCAATCTACTCCGTACGGAGTAGGCATATTCCCGTATGTCGAGACTTTCCATGGCTAGGCAAGCAGGGAAGCAGTAGGAAAGTCCCCGATTGTGTAGATAGAGGGAAATAGGGCATCGTGTAAATTCTCCGACAAGCGATATCTGAGCAATGCCTGTTGAATACTTAAAGAAGCTAACTGTCAGTGTTGCAACAGATTGTAGCATGGATTTATGTTCTGAAGACACTTTCGGAGGCTCTGGTAGCAAATATTTACATGGGTTCTGCAAATTGATGTTTTCATCCAACGATATAGGTACAACTCTGTGGTATGACTGACCGAATATCCATCGTACATCATAAAATCCAAGGTGAGTAGCGAACAAGACAGTTCATCACAACTCGTATGCCTGGTCTGTTTTTCCCTTTTTTTTTTTTTTTTTGTCATTTGATATATATGGAAATGTTATATGAAAAGCCTGTTGTGCTGTATCGGACTCTTCACAGACATGTGACGACCTCCAAACTGCGGCTGCCCCTTGCAGACCAACAAGCTCATCATGCGCCAAACTACCCAAATCAGAAACCAAACTAGACAGCAAAGAGTTCAAATATCGAAACCGCAGTCCCTTCATACTTGGGAAGTAGAAGGTATGTGGTGATGGTCATAGCACCAGTGTCTCAGCGCGGGTATGCAGCCAACCAGCTCTACATTCCAGGTAATGGTTGGAATTTTAAACAACAACCATTGCTGATTTCTATCCTCACGATGTACGGAGTACCGGACAATTTCTCTTGAATAAGATCATTGATTCGAAACGCCGCCACATTTTGGTTAGGGCTGTGTCATGCATCACCGTAGCATTAGCAGGTCAACCTTATTAGATAGAAATACTAGTCAGTTGGGTTTCCCCAATTCTGCAACACAACCTGACGCAAATTCATATGCAGAGTAAAAGATGGAAGCTGGTATAATCACGCTCGACCAATCGTTGGCCGGTCGGAGGTCTGGGTGCATTCCCAGGGTAGATCTACTGCCATCCACACCAAAGCAAATGTTGTGACTATGGAGTACCTATTAGGAATGTGCCCGGCCGGCCGGGGTATGCTGCCTGGTCGCTCATGGCTCCAAAAACAAAACAAAACGTTGGGGTCAAAGCCTGTGCATACTTATTGAAGCAAAATAATAAAACCCCAGGAATTTCTCCAGACCTATGCTGCGCTGTCATCCACCATCAACTCGACGCCGACAAGCAGCACGCGACATCGACACTGCCAACCATCTGATCTCGGAGTCCGAATTGCAGAATCATATCCAGGTAGGTAAGTAGGCATCGCTTTCCCGTTGTTTTGACTACCCTGTTCCTGCCGTCTATGAAGCCGAAGGTAGATATTCGTACTTGTCTACTCTGAATTTGAGCTCCCTGGGAAGGTGCTGGCCATTGCATAGACAAATTGGCAGATGTATATCCACAGTTCGAGTTGGTTCAGTTGAAAGATCTTTGTACATCATAAGGCTACTGGCACTTTACCTTACTATCGATCGCCTACATCGTTTGAAGTGGTTCGTCCCACTAACATCTCTTGAGGTCCTAGCAACTTTCACGATGCGTCTGTACGAATCCCTCTTCGCCACCTGCCTCTGTCTGGCCCAAGTCAGTTTTGCTGCACTGCCCTTGTCGTTCACAAAATGGCCAACGACTCTTCGTGCTGGTGAGCCCGCCACGGTAACTTGGGCCGGTGACATTGAAACTGTACGTATTGCGTTTTCCCCACTCATTCCCGATATCGCCAATTGACAAAATTTCTGTATAGCCCGCCACCATCACTCTCCGGAAAGGATCATCCACCGATCTAGGCGACGTGCAAGTCTTAACGGCCAAGGCTCTGGGAGGAACATTTACTTTTACTCCCGATGACAGTCTTCCCGGTGGAGCTGATTATGCGTTGCAAATCAGCCAGCCCGGACAAGTGAACTATTCGGGGCACATAACTCTGGAGGCAGCTCCTGCAGTGATCCCTCCGTCAAAGGGACCCCGTCCCACTCCCGTTACGCAAGATCCCAACTCGGAGGATTTTGAAACTGCCACCCACGACGAAAAGGACGATGACATCCCAAAAGGCAACAACGGTGAAACCGTCTCACTGAACGAAACCACTCCAACCAAAAACACCACGTCTGGAAAGAGCGCCATGGCAGCCCAGATGCAAACTGGTGGAGCGATGTTTCGAAACACTTCGCCCGAGCTGCTGCTGGCCGCCGCTGGCATCATCTTCTACCTTACAAGCTCATCCTTCGTATGAGGCCTCCCTTTTATTCCTGGCTCTTCTTAACAATGCTGCCCTTTGTTACAGGGTGCATCAGTAAACTCCGGCTCGAACAAAAACATTGCTTCGCTTCTAATTCACCCTTTTTGGCTTTCATTCTTTTCCTCCTGCTTTTATCATATCTTCTTATTCCTCTTGCTCTTCTATGATGCATGTCACATCACGTTTATTGAAAGTTGTATGGATTAATTCAGTCAAGCCCCGTTTTGCAGGGGGGAGGCTTCTTAATGGCTTGTCGGTGGGAAGAAAGTCCCGTGTCTGATGTATATATTTCTCGTCTCGTGTGCAGTTTCTTGAGACCGACATAGGGAGTACCTCGTCCCTCGTTTGAGGCCTCCCCTTTCTTCCCGGCTCTTCTCCACAATGCTGCCCTTTGTTACAGGGTGCATCAGTAACAATTATTCTTTTTTTTATCTGCATACTGTGTCTGTCAGTATGTGAAAAATTCAAATGAAAACTCTTACGCTCAACCCATGAAATCCAATCCTTGTCGATGTGTCACGTAGAGCAACAAGCCGATGAGCGAGCCGCGCCCGCACGGAGTTAGCGGCCGTTAGCGTGGCTACACATCACATCCCAGCAATCCGCATGAACAGTGGAACAGCCCAATGCGATGTGTACCTCTCTCTCTTTCTCTCTCCATTTTCCTTTCTCGTCTCTCTCTTTCGCTCTTCGTTCCTTCATCCTTCTGCATCCTTCTCTTCTCCGCGCCGCGGCAGGTTTCTCTTGTACATATTTCTATCCTTAACCAACTGTTACTTATATATTCTTCCCTACACCATCCAAGACTCTTCATCAGCCAAGACTACTTACTCCCCTTTTCTTTCGTTATCATCTCCCAAGATATACCGCAAAGTATCGGGCCGTTACAGTAAGTTCATCACTCCACGCCTCACTTTGAGGCTAGTTCCATTGTCTCCCCCTAAAATGATGTCTCGGCGATGAATAAGCACTATATCTGCACTTGTCATCATAATAAATATTAATTACTCTCCTGCAGATCGCCTGCAATCAAGCACCGATCCACCCAGTCGGTATGTGCTCATTATTGACCCTGATCCATCCTACTCTTGTCCCATATTTTTTTCTGTGCCTGGGGCCCGACGTTTTTCATCTCCCTCGCCTGGTTGAGCAGCGCTGTCGAGACCCCAAGTTTATCTTATGTAGCTGTGTTGCTAGCTCGGGCTGTACTAGCCAATGTTTATCCCGAGAGCTCACTCCTTGCTGCTTGCTCATCTCACTTATTTTCCGATTTCTGACCCTGTTATCGGGCCTGTCACTGGGTCTTTACTCCATATTTCCATCAAGCCTTTCCGTTGCGGTCAACGCTCATTGTTCATTTCTTTTCCATACCCACCACCATGCCGAGCATGGCCCGATTCGGTCGGGTGAAGAAGACGCTAAAGCCAGAAGCCGAGAATGCTAACTCGGATGCTCTTGCGTCCCCTACGTCAGATCCCCCTCAGCGCTCCCCTCGTGTCAGTCTCCCTCATGTGGAAACACAATTGAACATGCATCGGTATAATGGCTTGTTCGGACCCGAATCGCCAGAGCCCCAGAAAGAAGTCCCGATCATGGAGTCCTCTGCAGGTTGGTTGATCCCATCAATTGTCGCCTCCCACCCAATTGAACGCACGAGTGCGCGTTCAATCCCTGAGTCCAAAAGCTGACTTTCGTTCTTGCGCACCACACAGATTCTGCCACCCTGCATTCCTCAATTTATTCCAACGGATCCCCGAACCCTACGAACGGCGATACATCGACGACGGAATGGTCATCGGCCGTCGGGCACGCAGCCACGGGCAAGTCTGGCCGTGTCATACACAATCTGCAAGAAGATATTGCCCGCCTGACCCGCGAATGTACTCTCTATCGCTCCCGTGCGGAAGAAACGCAGCGCATGAACGATGCCTTCAAAACTCAGGTTGAGAACATGGCGGAGCGCCTCCGGAACCTTGAAACGGCCAACGAGATGAATCTTCATTCAATCACCCGGAAGGACGGCAAGATCGAGGAACTCCGCGTCGAGGTACAGAGTGAAAAGGACAGAAGGCGTCGATTAGAAGAGCAGACAAACAAGGCCCAGCAATTGATGGACGAGGCCCGCGACGATTTCAATCGGAAATGCGCCGAACTGCAGGAGGTCGCCAATCATTCGCGGACCCAGTACGACGTGCTCGCTAAGGCGGGACAACGCGAGCGAACCGAGCAGCAAAAGAAGTTTAAATCCATCAGGGACGACTTCCTTGCCCTGAAGGGTCAACATGAGGAAAAGAACCTGCAGCTCGAGCGATTGGATACGGTCATGGCCCAGAAGAACCGAGAGATCGAAGTCAGCAGAGAGAATTTTGATCGACTATATGAAGACTACGAGGCGTACAAGAAAGCTCAAGACGACGAAGTGAGAACTCTCATCGAGAAGGGACAACAGGGAGATGCCAGGATGGAAGCCGCCTTAGCATCGTTAAAGGAAACTGAAGGGCAAATGAAATGGGTCATCCAAGTCAAAAAGGAAGTCAAAGGCGCCGAATAGGGAGACCCGGGGGGAAAGAGAGACCCGGAAACCTTGGTGCGTTTCCAACCTACCGTCGTTATCCCATACAGGCAGTGAGCGCTGGCCGTGAGGGCCTGGTAGATAAACAGGTATGTCAGGCAGGACCTACCCTGCATTGCTATGTCTTATTGCAATAATATGATGCAGCCTTACTCTTGGTTTCTTTTGCTTTTCTCGGGTGAAATCCTAACACTGCAAATGACCCACTCCCATGTGTTTATATCAATTACCTTCCCTTGTCCTTTTATTCCCATCTGTTTCCATTCTCGCTTGTTTATCTTTTCTTCTTTTTCGTCCCCCCTTCGCCCTTCCCAGCTGCTGTCCGGAGTTTGGGAATGCTTGATACCCTGGGAGAGATAGACCGGAATATTCAAATTCCCTGCTCGATGTACCTTGTTTGAAGTACAGTGATGGCTGCTATGGCCTAGACCGTGTTAGAGATATCTTGAGATCAATAAGACAACATACACCCAGAGGACTATTCTCAGGAAGCCACTTTTCTGATATTCAACGCAGTGAGTTTCTTGCAAAGAGAGAGGGGCCGCCATCGTGTTTGGCAGTCACTCACTCACCAAAAGGCTGGTTAGCAGCAATATCAGATTCACCACGCTTTTTGAATGCGCCACATCCTTCCTCTTCGCAAAAAATCACCGCTTGTTTATTCACACTAAATATGTGGTCCCTCATACTGAGGTGACTGCGTATGTTTCCGAAGTTTCACGCTTACCTGCATGTATCCGTCTGTCGTTTGCCCAATGGCAGGCGGCGAATGATAGAGTTGCAAATGTCTCGCTGCTGCGTTGATTTCCTATTCTGGCACTCTGGCTGAGGTATTCACCCCCCGGTTGCCACCTGGAGACTCAGGCACCTTCCCCTGTTTCTACTACCTGCCTTCTCCATCTTCCTTCCTCTTTCTTTCCTCTTCCTCCCTTCAACCCCTCATCATTATCGTCACCATCATCACCTGGGGCCGTTTCTCTTCTCTCACAACAATCATCTACTGAAACAACATTTTAATCATTCCGTTTCCTGTTGTTTGACCCCTTTAACATTACGGCCAATCCCTTTGACACCACGTCTCTACTCTCAGAGTCGTGTCTTGTATCTGCACCCCCTCACATCATCACTCCCCTATCAAAAGAGCACGCTCTCCCTACAAAGCAGTAGGAACATGGCTTCAAGTTCACGCTTAACCTTCGCATCTGCCTGGGGATTTGAAACCACAGCGGTATGATCTTGGCTCCTGCTGCAGAAGTCCACTGTATACTTACCACAGAGAACCCCTGAGCAGGTCAAAGAGCTTGAACAAGAGTTTAGGTAAGTTCTTAGTGACCTGCAAAATTTCCACCAATAACACTAATCGTTTCTAGGAAAACCGGTGCCTCTGAATGTCATGGTGACTATAACAAGTCAGATGATGTGAGTGGAATGCTAGTTCAATCTATGTCGCTCTCTTAATAATGAATATCCTTGGCACTAGGTTCTTGTGCTTCAAGGACGGTTTGAAAGTTCTCTACCCCGGGCAGCTGAGATCTTGTCACGTTACATCGAACAACAGGAGAGCAATGATCTCCTTGACGTAAGCCTCACATTCAACCAGAAAATGATCTCATTGATTGACTCTTAATTCTTCCACATCAGATCCCGCGTATCTACCGTCTCCAAGTCCCCGAGATACTGAAAGACGACCCGATGCCCGTTCGGAGCCAGGACACTAACGCCCAAGAGGGTGACCTCTTGGCTCTTGGTCCCTCCCCCATGAGGGTCACCAAAGCCTGGGCATCATCTGAAGGTGGCGTGGGTTGTTTCTCGTGTCAATTTCACGACATCCTCTCGGAGATTTCGAAACTGACAGGCACGGAAATCGCTGTTTCCGAAGACCTCAAAGGCATTCAGGTGTCTGGAAAAAACGAAAATGATGTGGATGATGCTTTGGCGAAAATCAGCAATGTTCAGGAACCGCTGGTACGTGATCGATAACTTTTCCGATCATTCCCCCTCTTCTACTGACACTGTGACAGAAGCACATTTGCAACCCGCAAGTGATGAACATGGCAATCTCGCCGGACAATCGCCTCCAAATGCAATATTACACCCGTCTAAACTCGGCCGCCAAACGCCGCATACTCACTGACTCCGATCTAAGTTCTACTTCAAGCCTCTACCAAAGCTTTGTGACGGTGTCCATCGCCTTTGATAGTGAATCCCAGGCGAACAGATTCCCTGTGAACCTCCTCAACCCCCCACGAATTGGGGACGGGCCCGGCGAGGAGTCGCGGGTCTGGAATAACTTTCGTTTTCAGGAATTCGGAAAAGGTGATCAGTTCAATGTGGTAGAAGTCGTCGAAACTCCTCGTTCAGAGGCTAAAAGCTCCCCCGTCGAAGTTTCTCCATCCCATAGATATCTCTCGGCTGCAAAGGCCTTACAGGTGGATCAATGGGTGAATGAAAGGGCTGAGATTGATCCAGTTGGGCCGGTCCCTGAGCTTGCTTCCATTCCACAGCCTGAGACTCAGTACGAGCCGACAACTGCTACCAACACCATGAAGCCACCTGGAATAAAATCACGAAGGGTCGTGGCTCCGGTGCAAAAGCTGTCTTCATCCTCATCAAAGTCCACGGCATCTCATTCCAAGCCGCTCAACGCCCCGGTAAGCGACGAAAAAACCAACAGCCCACGAAAAAAGTGGAAAATGACTTACGAAATCAACGCCGGTGCTAATGCATCGCAGACTCCTGGTCTTGGTCAACCCAACAAAGAAATTAACAAGCGTGAGGGAGCTGTCCTTGGCTATGTAGCATCTAACATCCCGGCGGGCAAAGCGGAACTTGCGTCGGATTCCGACGCTCCGAAGAACGCAAACAATAAGCCCATTCGCATTCCGGACAACCATAGATTCAAAGCAAATGAAACTTCGTCTGGGTCGAACAGAAAGCCTCGGAAAGGTAGTGAGTTGATTGATACGTCCGTCCCAGCTTGCAACGCCAATGCCAATGTGCTTCCTCGTCTTTTTATGGATCAGCCTGCCCTAATCCCAGAGAGATCATCCGGCGGTAATATTCCCAAAAACAACTCCGACAATGGTGCCATATCATACAAGGCCAACCACTCAACTGACCTCGCTGGTCTCAGCTTCGAATCCGATGGCTCTTCTCCCAGCCCCAACAGCATTCCATCGAGCAGGGAAGTAGCATCCTCCAGTACCGACATTTCAGAGCCGGAGGAAAGGCTTGAGCGGCTGAAGAAGACTCGTACGGGCCAGATTGGGATGAAACACATCAATGAAGTTGATGTCTTCACTCCCCACAAGCCTAAGTCCAAGCGCCATGCCAATCAAGTATTCTCGAAGGAGAGGCTTGAAGAACTGGACAGGATTGATAGACCGGAGATAATGCAGTCAGCTGACGACGAAGTCGCTACCCGTAAATACCACCTTACCATGAAGCAAAAGACGGCCAAGTCTTTTGGAAAGGCGAAAGGTAAAGCTGAGGTGAAGGCCAAAAGACAGGCCACTCTGGAAGATGCCTGGGGTCTCCCGAAAAAGCCAACCAAAGGGGCTGAGGGCGCATCAGGGATTGAGAAGGTTGACGGCAAACCAATGAAAGGCGCCAGAGCTTCGGGGGCGAAACATGAGCAGCTTCAAGCAAACGAATTGCGTACGAATGACAACATCAAACATCTCTTTAGCGCGCTGAAGCAAACTTTGGAGGCTGCTGAGTATTTTCCAGGCACAGTGACTCTAGAGTTACAGTTCGGCCTCCTACTAATTCCCTTGTTACCCAAAACCTATCGTGAAAATTCGATGTCCGTTGACGAATGGACAAGAATCTTCCAGCCCCAAACCGGTATTGCACCCCCAACCACAAAGTTCATCAGTCGACTGACGACATCTGGATCTGATGTTGATCACATTGTGGACTTGAAGACCTCTAAAGCGGAAGGGAAACGGCGCATATTTGAGCAGGACGCCAGCGAGTACTCCGTTCTCTATGAATATCATTGTCGGACCAAGTCGGACAAATTAATCATCATGACGGTGAACGAACAGGGAAAAAACAGCCTTAGATATCCGACAACCGTTCTCGGTGGAGTCAACTTGCACTTTCCTGGGCAGACCTGGGACGCTCACTTGGGTGTGAGCGGTGGCTTCACATACAGGGAGGGAAGTGACCCAGAAATCGAGAAAGCTATTCAGCACCTAGCGGACCATTGTTGGGTTCCCCCAAACCAAACTCTTGCTCAGATCTTCACGAAAGTCCCAGATGGAAACACCATTACCATTGACAAAGTTCTTATGAAACGCCTGACACGCCATCGGCATATCCAGGCCGAATCCAACGTCAACCAGGATATCTTCCTGCAGGTGACGGAAGTCCAAGATCTCATCATTGGAACTTGTGACACAGACTCGCTGGTCAAAAGAGCCCGATGCTTGTCACTTCTAGACATGCTCAAGGCCGGGCGCCAGTGGTACGAGGTCTCGTTGGTCAGTCCTGCCATCGAGGCTATCTTGAAAGCTAATGCCAATATTGAGTTCGGTGAACGTACTGATGACTGGTGTGCCACTGACCTCTTGGGGAACGACGCATCCCTTACTCATGACAAACCGGCTGGTTCTGTCGAGACTCACGCCCCAATTTCATTGAGTCCCGTTGCATCCGCCATTGGAGATGCTGGCATCGGAAATCTTTTCCGTGTGGCCAAGAATATCATCGGCAAAATGGACGGCGTGGGTTACTGGAATTACAACCCTCATGCTGACACAGACGTCATGCCACCTCCCAGTTCGCTCAGTATTCCTCCTGCCGCTACTGCTCTTACCCGTGCGTCTCTCAGAAATTTCGCAGTCAAGTCTGACACAAAGAGTTTCAGTTTCGAGGAATTGGAGAGTATCAAAGACGTCGGCTGCGCCGCTGTGGATGTTGTTCCCACCAAGAAGTCCTCTCCCATCCCTTCTACCAAACCGATGGAACAGACTGAAGAGGTATTCTGGTGAACTTTTTTCTATGTGCGCTTCCAATATGAATTGCATCCAGTGCATTGAACTTTCCTGAATCTTTTTCTTTGTTGATGATGGGCATCTTGCTCTTTTCTGTATTCTAGTCGTCGACTGTCCTCTTAGTTGAGCAGGCAGAACAGTTTACTTCATGGAATCTTGTTTTTTCAACCCAATTGATTTGTGCTCGGCGTATAAAAGCGATGCTATACCAATTACCCCCGTAAATGTGATTCACAATCAACCAACGACTTTTATAGACAAATCCCCCAATGGTCTATACTATCTAACTAGTATCATCATCTTCATTTAAAACCAAAGCAGATCATCAGGTGTAAGTGCAAATCGAAAAAGGAAATGATAACAAGCAATCCAAATCTAGATGACCAGAGTGGAAGAGTAGAATAGAAAGAAGGGGGGGAAAAGACTGAACCAATCTATCTCATCTAGATCTATTCCTCATCCGGCGCATCATCCACACCTCTCAACCAAGCGCCACGAGCATCAACAGCCGCCTTCCGCACATCCCGCTTCGGATCATCCAACACCATCTTCAACGACCTCAACACCTGGTTCTTTACCGGCAGCAACGGCGAAAGCGTTCCCGCCTTCGCGACAGCCGGCGCATCAACCGAGGGTGTCTGCGCGAGCAAGAACAGACATTTAAGGGCGTCGGCGCGCAGACGGGTTCCGTTGACGGGTGCCGCAGAGCTAGACCCGGAGGACGCGGGAGGCATGTATTGGGTGGTTTGGAGCAGACGGGTGACGAGGCTTTGGACGTGGCCGCATTTCTCGATCACGGAGACGCCGTTCTCGCGGATGATGACGGCGAGGGTGGCGAGGGTTGCGGAGCGGACGGCCTGCGAGTCGGCGGTTTGGAGGTCGAGCGTTTGGAGAAGGAGGGGGAGGAGGGTGGGGAGTTCGGGCATCACGAGGGATGGGGAGATGGTGGAGAGGATGCCGGAAAGGGCGGTGAGGTGGGCGGGTTTGATGTGCGAGGTTGAGGTTGAGGGGTCTGAGGAGGTGTTGGAGTTGACGTTGACTTCGCGGATTCGCGTGGAGATCAGGGGTACGAGGGTGGTGAAGACGCGTTGCTTGGAGAGAAGACGGATGTTGGCGCCGTTGGCGGGGGAGAGGACGTCGTCGTCTCGGAGGAGGATAGCGAAGCCGCGGGCGGCGGTCGTGCTGGTGGCTTCGTCGGGGGAGGAGAGGAGGGCGAGGAGAGAGGTGAGGATTTGGGTGGTATTTGGGGCGAGACGGAGGACGAGGGCCTTGGAGAGCCAGAGGGTGGCGGCGAGTTTCTCCGGGCTAGGTTTCTCGGTTGCGACGGCGTCTTGAGGGAGGAGGGAGTCGAAGAGGTCCGTGGCGATGCCAAGGTCGCTCTTTGGTAGGAATTTGTTGACGAGAAGAGCGAGGTGACGAAGGAGCGCGATGTGTGTGGCTGGTTCGCATTCCGTGACGGAACGTGCTGCGATATCAGAAAGCAGAGCAGACATGTTAGGGCTGCTGTATGGCAGCTTGTCACAGTCCGCTGGGAGTCCCGCGAGAAGATACGTGGATATGACCATCGTGCGTTGTTGGTTGGCATCTGCGGATTGCGCAAACGGGACAGGAGAGAAGCTGTCTGCCGGGGAAAATAGGGTGTAGACGTTCTCTGCGACCTCGTCCTGCTTGTCTCTGGGAAGCGATCTGACAATAAGATTGCAGAGTCTTCCGAGGATGTCCAGCACGGTGATATCGGTCAAGATGCTGTTCTTGGCTTTGCCTGACGCTGACTCGGCCACACTGCGACACAGGCCGATCACTATCTTGTCATAGTAGACGCCCAAGTTCGGATCTTGGTCTATCTTCCTTTGGCTCATGACATAGAAGATGGTCAAGATGATTGCTCTGGGATACGCCGCGGAGCCAGGCTGCTCCTTCTGCAGCAGAATTGTCAACTTGCTCAGGAGTCGTCGGACCAGGGTCTCGAAGATGTCCTTTTCAACGCTGATTTGCGCCAGGTTCTCGAGTGTCGTCAAGTAATCAGAATCCGTACCCTCATCAGAGTCGGGCAGCGTTGCCACAAAGGCAGGGAAAGTGATGTCCATGATAAGCCTTGACTTGTACTTCGAGAGCTCGGCCAATGCGGAGATAGCCTCCTTCTTAAGGTCATCACGGCCCACAGACTCTTCCTTGAGAAGGATCTCGTCAAGGTATTGTACAAAAAGTCCAATTTCGTTATTCTGGAAATAGTTGCGCAAAGTAGACAGGCGCAGAAATCCCTTCAACGCGGAAACTCGGAAGGACACCTCCTCTTTGATAACCCCCATTAAAGCCTGGCCAAAAATATCCGAGAATTGGTCTTTAAACTCAAGAAGAGGGTTTTCGGCAGCAGGCTCGGGATCCCGCGATGTCCATTCTCCAAATACTTGGATAGCGGAATCGAAGAGGACTATGAGAGTCTCCAGCAAAGCTCTTTGTTTGGCAATTCCTTCGGCCTCCTGGTAGATAGTCAAAAGCGGCGCAACAATGGTTTGTACCGCTAATGTGAACGACACGGCAGAGGCGGTCGAAATGGAGCCGAGTATCTGTTGAGCTGGCTTCGCCTGTTTTTGTTGGGGCTCCTGCAATTGATCATTGCATTCCTTAGTGATTGGTCGCAAGTACTGTGCTAGAGGCAATTCATCGGAGACCTGCGTGACACCTTCAGATAGTCGCTTCGTGATCTTATTTAAAACATCCAGGGAGAGATCGGAAAGGAATTCTTCTTGTGCGTTGAGGATCTCAAATTTGAGAGCATCCCATATAGTAATCGAGAATCTGGAAACAGTATCCGGGTCATACGAGCGGACACATGCGATCAACGCGTTGAGTGCGTCTTTCTGTGAAGAGGTTAGATACAACCAACCAATGGAACCAGAAAATCTCTCACCTTGACATTCGGTGATGTCGAGTCCAGTTTGTCCAACAATGCAGGGATGGCGTGTGGAGCGAACTGGCCCGTAGACGAGATGCAATCCTGTAGACGGCTCTTCAAATCCTGCGCGGTGATTCCATATGGATCGTTCGGCGGAGGCCTAAACGTGATAGGAAAATAGTTGTACACAGCATCGAACAGAAGCTACTCATATCAGCTAATAGAACTAAGACCCCAAATAGTTAATGTCACTTACTTCCGCATGGCTCGAGACATCCCATTCGATCATCACCACTTTCAGAATCGAAAACACGAGCATCAGGTTCCGAGGGTCTTTTTCGCCCGTCATTAAGTCCACAACGCCAACCAGAGACTCGTCTCCCATTTCATGAAGAGCTAGACAGCGTCAGAACCAGGGGAATACCAGCTTTGAGACGGACATTTTTCAACTTACCGGCTCGGTGGTTGGACATCAATTCATTGAGTAGCTGGTAAACCTGGAATCGTTGCGATTGTGACCGAGACTGTAGTTCTTGGAAGTGTTCAAAAATGCTGTGCGAATGTCAGCAAGCCTGCGCTCCTTGGCTGCACATTTCCCTCTTCTCAAGTCGAGTGCAATGCCGACAGATGAAGAGCAGAAAGGAATGGACTCACGCTCGTGCCACCTCCGCTGCCAGTTCCTTATTGAAACGGTCCAGTCTCTGCAACGTTTCCAGTCCTGCAACAGCACCTCCATCCTCGATACGATCGCTGAAGAAGGTCGTCAGGACCTGGATCTGTTGTCTGGTAAGGAACTTCGACGGCAGCGCTATGATCACGGCGGAGAGGTAGGAGACAGCTTTGCCTCGCAGAATCGGGTCTTCGTCATTGACATATTCGCCCAAAGACTGTACAACTTCGATGAGGGTCGTCTTCTTGTTCTCCACATCTTTTATTGTACCAAACAATAGTTAGAAAACAACCATGTTCATGTTCTTGATAGCGAAAGGATCCTCGCGAGATAAGTAAGTCATCGTACCTTGAGCAATTCGTTCCGCAATCTGCTTTGCTTCCTGCTTGTCATGGTCCACTACCAGCAGGAAAGTCTGCAACGCCGACATCTTCGCGATGAAGCCGTGTGATGAGGGGTAATGCGAGAGTCGATTCCCCCTCCTCCGCGACCGGAACATGACGCTTTTTGTGGCCACCCTTATCGATAAACCTGAGTCACGTGCTCAGTCTCCTCAGTGTTCTCCGCGTAGCATCACGTGCCACCCGGGAAAGGAAAGGGGACGGCCAGTTGCGTCATGGGTCTTTTGGTGAAGTCACCCCAGCCGATCGACTGATATATATTTCTACTGATCGACACGTCTTCCTTCCATCATCTGCCCAAGATGCGGCACATTACCTGGACTCCCATACTTTTAATATCGGTCATAATCTGCTCGGTCTCTACAGCCTGGAGCATTCCAACCTTATCCCTTCGAAAGCGTATTCCCCCCGTGCTTAGCGATTTACCCCCCTTACGTCACGGCGAAGATTCACAGCAGAGACGAAGTCTCAGTATCTGGCTTCAACAGCAAGAGCCTGGTATTGGTAACGCTCATCCTAAGATCGTCATGCCTCCGTCTGGAAATACCGGAGAGGGCGCCAAAGACCCCAAGGGCGCTGACCAGAACAACCCCATCATATCCGACGTGCTTCCGAAGACGCGCGCCATCAATATCTTCGCGCGACTCACGCGGGACTTTGAGTCCGTGGAATCGCGACTGAGTGATGCGTCGAAGAATCTGACGGTCCTGGCGCCGCGGAATGGTGCGATCATGGATCTACCTCGCAAGCCTTGGGAGAATCCCGATGACTACGCCCAGTTCGGAGAGGCAAATGCCTATGAAGGGCAAGATGGACAGGATCGGGCTAGGCGTAATCTGAAGCGCTTTGTCGAAGCTCATATTGTCACCGTCAGTCCTTGGGAGGAGGGTGTCGAAGCGGAAACACTCGCGGGGGATAAACTGCGGTGGACGAAGGACGGTGATAAGATCTTTGTACGGGATAACCCTTCCTTTTCTTCCCCTGTCTGGCTGAGGGTAGTCATACTAACATACCCTAGATTCAACCTGGCAACGTCGAAGTCGAAAGCGTTGCGGAGCAAGTATCGAACGGCGAGGTGTGGGTTTTGAACGGCGTGATCAATTACCGTTGATCTAGATTAGTATTTGATAATGACTTATGATGCGATGTATTTGCTGGGCTTTTTTTCCACATATTTTTCATTACGGCGTGTGACAATCTTTTGGTGTATTTACGATGTGACTTTATGATATTAACCTAACAGACTTAGAGAATCTACGCCTTTGATATCATTATCAAACCCTTCTTCATTATCATTCGATGTAGCGAAGTATCAATATGCTTCTAGATCTTTTGAAATTCAAGGCAGTATATAGAACATGGGAACTGTCAAATTGCTTTGAGATGTTCGGTTTCAGCGGACCTCCTTGGAGCTGAGGTTGTGTAGTATTCTCTCCTCGATACCATTGAGGATGCAGAAATGCTCCGCAACCTCCAGGTTCTCAGCTTCACTCTGGTATAATTTATCGGGGTCTTGACCGGGTTGGAAGGGATTCATTCCAGCGGCCGGGTTCATGCCAGCCATCTGCTGGGTCATTTGACTAGCGGCTGGTTTTTCAGACATGTTAGCGATGTCACAGGCTCGGACGGCTATGGGGATAGAGGAAGCCGGAGGTAGACTTACCGTTGTCACTACCCAAAATAAAGCCAAAAACGGACTGAAGACCGAACAAGTTCAGGAAATACCACGACAGACTAGAGACCCATCTGACATCCAGATCACGGGTCATGACACCAGACTGAAGCATCGACTTGAACCGAATAGTGAGAGGGAAGGGCAATTTCACTGTATCACTTGCATCAGTACACCGAGCATAGACCTCGATCGAGCAACTTAAACAAGGCAACATACAGATAACGAATCCGGAAAAGAACGCATTAATCCAGCTCATAATGAGCGTCTGGGGGATCATCATCATCATATTGCCCTTCATCATCCCCATCATCGCCTCCATGCCCGCGGGGTCGGTCATCGGGTTAGCCGGCGGCTGGCCGCGGTTCTCCGGGTCCTTCAAGAACTCGCCTTTCTGGTACGCGGAGACCAGGTAGTTCTTCCGAAGCTCGAAAGCCTCCCGTGAGAGGACCGCAGAGGCATTGTTACGCAGATTGACACCGCGGATGAGAGACAGCCGCTCGCGAGATTCAGCCATAGTGGCCGGGGGCTTCGGGGGATTGTTCATCAGGACGGTGGCATAATGACGAAGAATACCTGTCAGGATCTATTGCACATAGTTAGTTTTCGGTATCGAGGCGATCATATGAGTATCGATTAGGAGGAGGCGCACCATGACAATCGAGATGGGGAATAGGATCCAGTAGCTTTTGAGCGATCATGTTAGTTAGGGCTTCGCGGGCTTCACAGTGCCTAATTCGCAGAACTCACAAAAGAGCCGGATCCCGAAGAATCGTCTGCTCGACCCCTTGCAATGCCATGATGAACGAAGTTAATCGCGAAAGATTAGAGGGTGGCGTTGGTGGGCTTGACGTTGAGATGAGATGAGACAACGGAAGCTCCCAAGATTCGGGTCGGTCCTCACGACGAGAGCGGGCTTGGCCTAGCGTGAGATCTCACGCCGCTTTAGCTCCGCTCTCCGCGAAAGGGACAGCTCGCCGCAACGCCCTCGTCTTATAAACAGTCCACCTTGAAAGGTCCCTCCTTGCACAACAGTCCAATCTTTTTGCCTATACTTCTGTCTTGATTCTCCTCGCCTGGATCTTCTATTTTGTGATCCTCAAAATCCTACAAATGGCGTCCGCACCTGCAGTAAAGGTGCCTGTTTACTCTGGCAATGGTTAGTATTGCATCCCCACGGCTAGTCCATTCGATTGCTCGCAACTTCCCCCAGCTCCCAGTCCTTCTTGCGCAGCTTTCGCAGCCATGTCCGTCTACTAAAACACATCTGCAGACCTCAAATCAACCACCGATGATTCCCTGGCGCCGTACTTGACCACCCTCCCCCAGCCGTACACCTTCGCCCAAGACCATTCAAAAACGAACGTCCGATTCGTGCTAGGCTACACGGCCGTCTCCATCGCCGCATTTACCTTCTACGCTGATCGCAAACTGGGATGGGAGGCGACAACGTCGCCCTGGATCCTGGCCGCCGTAGGCTCATACTTCATCCTGAACACCATCCTCACATTCTGGGTCTGGTTCGTTGAATCCGGCGAGATCTTCCGAGGCAAGCGACAGTCTGGCGAAACGGTATGGATTGCCCCAAAGAGCAATAAATAACCCTCCCAATACTTGTTTCCTAGTTCCTAAACTAACGCGGTACTGGTCAGATCTCCATTCGCTCCTCCAACAAGAAATTCTCGCCCCTCTATAAACTCCACATCCAGTACACATCGTCATCCAACAAGGTTCTGCAGGAGAAGGAGATCGAGACTTCCTTCACGACTTGGTTCGCCGCGGACGGCACTTTCCATCCGAAGCCTCTCCAGCAGTGGATCTCGAATGAGATCGAAGTACTAGGGCTTGCGGCGAAGGAGCTGGAGAAGAGGAAGGCTGCGCGTGCTGGGGCTTCTGTGGCGGCTCTGGAATCTGAGAACAGCCAAGAAGATAACGGTGCCAAGAGGAGAAAGTAGACTGTGTCGTGAGTAAAGTGTTTGGAGGGGACGACGTTTTGAAAATACAAAAGTGGACTTGCTTGGGTACAATCTCATTTCTGTAATTGTTATTTCCTATAAGCCCTTTTTTAGCCCGAGGTCTGGCGGGACACAGATTATGAAACAAAAATTTATTACTATTTATTGCATAGGAGTGAGCATAGTATGGACGTATGTCTGCTTTGGATGTTACAAGCTTCGGGGAAGGACAAATATTCGAGATCAATGAGATCAACGCAGATAGGAGCTGCAAGCTTATGCTCATTTTGTACAATCGTTTATGCGAGTATATTTATGATATAAGACAGCAATAAAACAAATAGAAGTAGTAAAAAAACTCTATGGCTAGAATGGCTTGTGCGTGATATCATTTTCCATCACAAGGTATTATATCGATCTCGTTGAAATCATGAGGCAGCTTCCAGGGTTCCTGGGCGCTCAGTGGCCTGGGCAGGCTTAACATCATCCAATCTCCGGTTCTGGATGAGTCTCTGTTGCGCATGGTTAGAAAGACATGTTCCCTCAAATACCGGGAATAGGTATACTTACCAGAAGGTTCCTGAGAAGGACGACGATGGTAACCTTTCCGGTGGAAGGCACGAAAAGGGAGGCCTTCTCCTTGACTTCGGGTCCGAAATTCTGTTTATGACACCATGTGTTAGACGTTGGACTCGCGCATCAATCACATGGGTATTTAGGGCGTTTGTCATACCTTCTCACTGGAGAAATTGACACACACGGCACCTTCTCTGAGCAGGCTAGTATCGAACTTGTAGGAGTCTCCAGGGACACCAGAGATGACAACGTCACACAGCGGTGCCACATCTTTCAAAGTCTGGCCCTCTAAGTCGACAACCTCGTGCCGGCCCTTCTTGATGCCTTCGCCACGGGTGAACTTCTGGACACCAGTCACGTCTACACTGTAAACACAGGCGCCGTCGTTGGCCAACAAGGCCGCAAGAGGACGGCCCACGACCTCAGACCGATTCACCACGCAAATCGTGTGTCCGAAGAGTCGATTTCCGTAGGGCAATATCGTGTTGTAGACCTTGAGGTGCTCTAGGATTTTGATGATGGCGAGAGGGGTGCATGGCAGAATGCACTTCTGGCGCTTGGTCTCCGGGTCCAGGAAACGGATGTTCTGGTACATGTTGAAGATATAGCGGTGGCTGAGACCCTCTACATCCTTGGAGACGTCGACGATCTGCTGCAGGTACTGGTCTTGCCGGTTGTTGAAGATGGGGTAGTATACGATGATGCCGTCAACGTCGGAGTCGACATTGGCAGCTAGAATGGCCTCTTCGAGGTCCTCGCGCGACACCTCACGAAGGGAGTAACGGAATCCGCTGTAGGGGGGGAACAACTACGTTAGCTACGATGTGATTCATCACGGTTTGGCACCCCGCGCTCCGACATCGCAAGTCGCGAAACGGGCCCGTGTCCTTCGAGAGAAGAAAACAGGCCCCATGGGAGCCATTGATATAAATGGCAATAAACATGAGAAAGTGCTCACTTTTCTTGACAAGTCTTCTCCGTCCACTGGGCATACATGAGTGCCGCAGGGTCATTGTTGGCCAGAAAGCCCACAAGGTGGGGTGGCTTTTCCAAGGTCCGGACGCCCTCGAGGACCTCCTCAAGTAGACCGTTGGAGACATGCTTCGAGAGCATGACCTTGCAAGTGGCCGGGGCCGCATCTGTATTGGAGGCCATGTTTATAGGAGGTAGGTCTTATAAGAGAAGAGCTGACCGCGCGTGAACCAGGAAGCTGCTTTGGATAACTTGGGTGGAGGGGAGCCGGAATTAAATTTTTGGGACGGAAAAGACTGCTCGCTTATCGATAAAGAAATGCCGCATTCGGACCTCGACGCATCCCATCAGGCCAGTGGTTTATGACCAACCATCGTACAAATCAGTAATAATTGAATTGGATTTTGGCATAGGGATTTTAGTTGTAATGAGATTTGATCTGTCAATAGGCGTTGATAATTGTGACGTACCCTTTCAATCCGAGCCAGCCGCACAGAGATACCTTAGAATATACTTGCAAGTCCACGATCGATTACTAGCTCATGGTTGTGTATATTTAAAAAGCAGTCTAGTGTCCAATGCTCAAAGACCGAAAATGTGATTGCTGAGAAAATGGCTCAACCAAACCAGAGAATCGGCGAAATCGGAGCTACAAATCGCCAATGTCAACATAGGCCTCTACGTCATTCTACAGGGATCCTAGAGCAATTCCAAAAAGAAAGTAGGCGAACAAAGGAAATCATATTTGGACTGCATATATGGAGACAAAGGAACTCCGATAGAAAGAAAAACTGGGTATCAAAAAGCCGTTCCTTGCAAAGGAAAGCCAGAGCCCCCAGTTAACTCCTCCTAATCCCGTTCCCCTGTTGCGCGAAAAGATCTAAACGTACAGGATATTAATCGTATCTGTCTTTTTTTACCGTCTCACTATTGTACCTTTTCTTCATAAGCTACAAAGGACCAGGTTGCAACACCAAAAAGGACATCCGCTGAGGTTCCTCGAAGGCTCCAAGCCAACCCGAAGCTCTGATTGAAAAAGAAAAGAAAACAGTGGTCTCAAATTGTACAAGCTAACTTGTCTATACACATAGAGTCAGGAAAAAACACAGTACACGGTTGTTTAGTCACCCAGTTGCCTTTTGCTCACCTATGCGTTGAAAGACTTGTTGAAGGCACCGATGACCTCACGGAGCTGGTTCTCGAGCTCCTTGGAGACCTGGCCCTCCTTCTCGATGGTCTCCTGGATCTCGGGGTGGTTGCTCTTGAGGTGAGCGAGGATATCGGCCTCCCACTGGAGGATCTTGGCGACGGGGACCTGGTCAAGGAAACCGTTGACACCGGCGAAGATCAGGGGAACCATGTCGGAGACGGCCATGGGGGAGTACTGCTTCTGCTTGAGCAGCTCGGTGAGACGCTCACCACGGTTGAGGGTCTGCTTGGTGGTGGCATCGAGATCGGAACCGAACTGAGCGAAAGCGGCGACCTCACGGTACTGGGCCAAGAAAAGCTTCAGGGAACCAGCGACCTGCTTCATGGCCTTGACCTGGGCGGCGGAACCGACACGGGAGACGGACAGACCGACGTTAATGGCGGGACGGATACCCTTGTAGAAGAGCTCGGACTCCAAGAAGATCTGACCGTCGGTAATGGAGATGACGTTGGTGGGAATGTAGGCAGACACATCACCACCCTGGGTCTCAATGATGGGCAGAGCGGTAAGGGAACCACCACCGTGCTTGTCGTTCATCTTGGCGGCGCGCTCAAGGAGACGAGAGTGGAGGTAGAAAACGTCACCGGGGTAGGCCTCACGACCGGGGGGACGACGAAGCAGCAGGGACATCTGACGGTAGGCGACGGCCTGCTTGGACAGATCGTCGTAGATGATAACGGCGTGACGGCCGTTGTCACGGAACCACTCACCCATGGCACAGCCAGTGAAGGGAGCAAGGTACTGCAGAGGAGCAGCCTCGGAGGCAGTAGCAGCAACGACGATGGAGTACTTCATGGCGTCGTTCTCCTCGAGGGTCTTGACGAGCTGAGCGACGGTGGAACGCTTCTGACCGACGGCGACGTAGATGCAGTAAAGCTTCTTGGTCTCGTCGGAGGTGCTGTTCCAACGCTTCTGGTTGAGCATGGCGTCAAGGGCGACAGCGGTCTTACCGGTCTGACGGTCACCAATGATCAACTCACGCTGACCACGGCCAATGGGCACCATGGAGTCGACACACTTCATACCAGTCTGGACGGGCTGGTTGACGGAGCGACGGGGCAGGATACCAGGGGCCTTGAGCTGAGCACGGCTCTTGGCCTTGGTGTTGGTGGGACCCTTGCCGTCAATGGGGTTACCCAGAGCATCGACGACACGGCCGAGAAGCTCAGGGCCGACGGGGACATCAACCTAGGATTCGAGTTTAGCGTTAAATTTCGAAGGGGGTAAATTGTTTCCAAAAAGGGAGAAACCTACAATCTCTCCAGTACGCTTGACGGTCTCACCCTCCTTGACGAGACGGTCGGAACCGAAAAGCACGACACCGACCTGGCCGGCTTCCAAGTTCATGCACATACCCTTAACACCGGAGGCGAACCTTTTCATCCGTCAGTCACGCTAGGTTCATCACTATGGGACAAATGTGATATCATTAGGGATACGTACTCGACCAGCTCCTCAGCCTGGACGTTGGTCATGCCATGGACACGAGCAATACCATCACTATTCAAGTAATCAAGTTAGTCAATTGGAGCCTGTTGCAGAGGCCAAAACAATCCATGACGTCGTGGTTGGAGATGATTTTTTTCGATGATTTTGATGATGCCGTAGCCGTGCTCGAATTTTTCAACTGGGGTAAAAGCGGTCACGTACCCGACGGAAAGGACACGACCAGTCTCAGCAAGGCCGGCCTCCTCCTGAACACCACGGATTCTCTGCTCAAGGATGGAAGAAACCTCGGTGGGAGCAGCCTTGGCCTCAGCAGCGTAGGTACGGACCTGCTTGGAAGCACCGGAGAGGGGGCCGGGAACAGCCGCGCGGACCTGTAGAGAGACGCAGAATTTGTCAACGACCGACCACGACAACCACAACGCGTGAAAGGGAGGTAAGATGTATTGCGATGGATGAGCAAGCCATTCGAGGCCTCATTGAGATGACTTCTCGGATGGCAGCCGCGGAATTGACGAGATGGGCGACGAGATGGCGACGACCTGGGCAGGGATGAGACTCACCGAAGCGATCCGGCCGGTGGCAGAGGCGGCCGCGACGGTGCGGCTGGACTGCCGCAAAGCGTTTCTGAACATTGTGATGGGGGTTCAGAGGAGTGGGAGAGTGGTTTCTCTGAAGGAGAGATGTAATTGGGGGGAGGAGGAGAGAGGAGAGAGGATTGTGGATGGATGGAAGGAGAGCTTTGTCGTCGGGGTTGGGAGGAATCTCAGAACGGCACTAAGCCTAGTTTGCCGAGCCTCAGCAACCTCCGAAGCCGCCCTAGTGCGCTCACGGGACTGCCAACCCGCCCTTTCTGCGGGTGTCGGTTTCCACGACTACAGCTCGACCGAGCGTCCAGCTAATTTTTAGAGTCTGATCGATATGATCTCTACGCTTTTCTCGCTTTTCTTACACTCTATTTTCGCCTGGGTGATGGGGGGTGGGAAAGTCGACAGGAGTGGAGGTGCTGGGCTCGGTTTGGTTTTCTCCGGCTATCCCTCTTTTCTCCCTTCCCTGGCTTCCTGCGGGCCACCTGGCAATCTCAGTTTTCGCTAGTTGTAATTTCTCGGATCTGCGGATCCTCCGTCCTGGTCATTGGTTTAGCCTGCTGACTCAGTGCCGCCCATTTTCGTCACGGCAACAGCACTTCTTTCTGGACTGGAGACCGTGCTGTTGAGACTTGAAATGGGCTTGCATAGTTGATGACTTCTTGATTCTAATTTTATTTATGTTATACATTCTCTTTTGGTAATGGTCAAATTATATTGTGATACTATTGTCTATTTTCTCCTCTCTACGTACTCGATCGTCGGTACGGTGTAGGTAGCTCATAATATATATCAGGGTGTTGACGGTGTACACCCCAGGTGGATATCGTCGTTCGTGCGGTGAAGAATTCCATTCCGATTTAATATCTTGCTCGTGTGTTTTTCTCCGTCCTCCGACCTCCATGTTTATTTATATCAAATACACCGGTTCCTTAGCTCCCTTCTGCTCGGTCCCTCCGTCACCGTAAGCGCCATCTACTCGACTCTCGGGACAGCTCAAGCTGTACGAATGCTGCATTACGTAACACCAAATCGCTAAATCCAGTACCTAGCAGTCCGCTGTGCATATACATCACCAAATCAACAACCAACAATGACAATGACAAGCAACTTAAAAAAAAAAAAAAATTCACACCGAATTCAACTCAACAACTCCTCGCGAAATCATTTAGATCCAACAACCACAACTTGCTCAACCAGTGGAAGAATCTGCCCCCCATAACAGGCTCATTAGGTAACTATGGTTTGAAAATGCCAGTGGAGGACAGTCTCTTCGCGACGCGCAGATGCCTTCGAAGGTCTACTGCTTCGCGGCATCCTTGTTTTTCTTCTGCTCCCGGAACGTCGCGATTTGCTTGTTGACGCTCTCGTCGTATCGGGCCTTCAGTTCCGGGCGGTATCCGAAGAAAAACAGAATCTCCATCCAGACGAACAGAGGAGCCAGGAGGAGGGCCTGAACCAAATTGTCCAGCAGCGCGGGTGCCCGTCCTTCGAAGACTCCATGGCCGACGAACTGCACCAACCACGACGCGATATGGATACCCCCAAACCAGTAGTTCATGCTGGGCCCGTATGTGATGAGGAGATGGTTGGCGAATGCGGCGCCTCCGAGCAGGAACGGCGCGACAAGGGCACCGGCGACGGGTTCCAAGAGGATATAAAATGTGGCATAGATCAACGCGCCAATCGTTCCGACATTAGCCGGGAGATTTTCGAAGCGTAGGACATCGGGGACATTAAAGAGAGCGGGGGAGTTGGATGCCTGATGGAATCGATTATCGTCAATATCTCTCCTAAGTAGAATTTGGCGAAGACAAAGGCAAAAACATACCAGCGCAATGCCCGTAAATAAGAGGATTGGCACACAGGTGATATGGATGGCAATGTTTACCTAAAGGCCATGAGTGACAACGGTCGGTCATAGGGGGGTACAAAGAGATTTACAGGATTATTATGGTAGGCGCCGTACTGGAAAAGTAAGCAGGTGTCCAAGGGTGATCATGATATGTTATTCTCATCCATCGAGTGAGACGAAAGAACTCACAAAGAGAAGCTGCCTTTCCAAGTTCAAAGCCATGTCGATTTCTGTTTGGTTGGCTGTCTCAAAGAAAGAGAAGACGAAGCTGGCCGTCTGGATGGACCTAAACAATGAAAAAGACCTTTCGAACTATTTTACCGACCACCGTTACAAATTCATACAGCAAGAAGTATTGCCAGATCAGGCCAGCCAAGAGGTGGAGAGGGCAGGCATTTTATCTGCGCTGAGGCGACGAGGCATTTGCTCTGGCACAGACGTCATGTGCAAATGGCCAGAGACCGAGGATAATGTATTCTGATAACGAGTTATGCAGTCGTATGCAGCCGCCCGTGGGCGTTGGACAGGTATGGTACTGTCATGTAACAAACACCGCCCTCAGGCTATCCAGGTCATGTGACTGACTGCAGCTTGTGCTGATCAGACATGGGCCGTCATCATTGTCTGCCTCGAGTCGATTTGCTTGTATATACCCAGCTCTTTGCCCCTGCCCTTCTTCACAGGCAGTGAATTCACTATATACTAACCCTACTACATTCTTTTCTAGCAACTGTGCGCTTTCTCTTCGGGGCAATTTTTTCTGCTTCTTGTTTGGTCATGAGCCGTGAAGCTCTGTTAATGGGCGTGAATTGAACCTGTTCGTATTTGTTCGGTATTCTCCTTTTCGCAGTCACAACTCTTTCGCCTGAAACAAAAATCTCCTTGCACCCGGTCTTCACATTCTAAGAGCCACTTTCAGCCAGCAATCTCGAGTGCGAATCCCACCAGATATCTAGCTTGCGACCAGAATATCCTCCCCGCCTTTGACCCGATTCGTGTCGCCGCGAAGCCTTGCGCCATGTTCTTCCTCAAAGAAGAAACCAAAGTTATCACGCTGCATCCGTCCTACTTCGGGCCCAATGTGCGAGAATACCTGATCAACCGATTGAACGAGGAGGAGGAAGGACGATGCACAGGTGATCACTTTGTGATCTGTGTCATGGATATGGTCGATATTGGCGAAGGGAGGGTACTTCCAAGCGGCGGACAGGCAGAATACACTATCAAATACCGCGCGATTATCTGGAAGCCTTTCCGAGGGGAGACGGTATGACTATGTTCCGGGAGGTTGGCAATACCAAGTGCCCTCGAATGCTGACCCAGAGCTCGGCAGGTCGATGCCATAGTTACCTCTGTCAAACCCACCGGAATTTTCACATTGGCAGGCCCATTGTCGGTTTTCATTGCGCGGAAAGTATGCTTCATCAACTGCAGGTGACTAGCCGATTTCCCATGCTAACAGAACCCCCAAGAATGTCCCCTCCGATATCAAGTGGGAGCCGAACACGATACCTCCCCAGTATACGGATCATGCCGATCAAGTTATCGAAAAGGGGACCAGTCTGCGACTCAAGATTCTCGGTGTCAAGCCGGATGTGGCGGCCATCAATGCCATCGGTACCATCAAGGAGGATTTCCTAGGGTGAGTCTTTGCTATGCTTAATGGCACTACCCAAGAGACCCCGCTAATGTGTTTCCCCCACTGCAGACCATTGTAAAACAATGTCGACGAGCAATGAAATCACAAAAGGACAAGAGGACAAACAGCAGAGGTTGCCCAACACATTTTTCACGATTTATACCAATAATACCACCGGTAAACATTTAAGAAGCCTTTTCTTTTTCTTTTCCCTTTTTTGCTGGAACTCCTGCCCCTTATGAAGGGTTGGATGCGAAAAGCCTCTGGTCCCTAGAAAGATGCGATTATGTTCATGGGTTGATCAGCAGATATCCCTTGAAGGTACGAGCCCATGAAACGAACATCTTCCATGGAGCAGAAAGGCATGTTTTCCTTAATCCCTCGCAGAATGAGAGTGAATGACCCCCAAAAGATGTCTGATGCAGACTTGAAAAAATAAAGATAGAATTCACATTGATCTAGCTATTCTGACGATGCGAGCATGGGATGGTTGGGAATTGAATCTCGAATTTTCGATATGTCTGAGCCATATCTACTAGGTAGGGAGATAACTTATTCCATAACCCCCATAGAATAGCTTGAGTTATCAATTACATAGATCTCACTACTTGGGAAGCCTCCACGAACAATCCTCTGGCCCTGCTTGCAGGAACATATGATTACTAGATAAGAGCTGGAAGCGCACATATTAGTCCCTACCGTATGCACGCCTGATGATGCTCTATGCGAACGTACAGCTCTCCTATCTATCAACCCTCTCGTATGAAGTATAACGTGTCTAACCATTCCTATCAACGGCCAAGTCAAGAAGGGCGGTGGGCATGTCTGTTATCTTAGAGGAAGACAATATACTGAGATTGCAGTGTAGCTTTGTTGCTGGAAATGCTGAGCATTGGATAACTATTACTTGAGGACAAAGACAAAGCAGCAGAATCCTATCTTGGTATTCATTAGCGCGGGAGTAGCTTGGAATAAGGAGGGTATAGCGTGTGATCCATGGCTCAATCATTTCTTTTCTGTCCAGAAGCATTTGGACTAGATACACTACCAATTGAAGTTGAGATAACCTTTTGATTATTACTAAATCACCGATTGAGGAAGTAGAGGCTCGGTGATATTTCTATTCCTTTTCGCTGGAGGTCAAAGCCTAAGGGCTAAGGATACAATTAGGGTGTTCAGTGGTGATTCGTTCTAAAGTTCGTTAAATTAGTATAAGCAATCGCCGATTGACGGTTATACACATTTGAAAGAAGCCTAGGGAAGAAGATTCCATTTCCACTCTATACGAATCCCTGTCCGCCTTTGGTTTCATATGCTGCATGTCAAGGTACCGATGGCATGGAGCCGGTGGTTACACTAGTGATTTCTCACTGAAGGCATCCTGACGGTCATGGCACTAGTTCTCTCTGGCCCACATGGCTATTCTGAAGAATAATCTGGAACAATAATGAGCTGGAAGGGAACAGACAGAATATCTGTAGGACGCCATATCACATAGTAGTCGAATCTGCTGGTTCTGCATGACAGTATGAAGAGTAGAACCGAGGGTCTACAGTTCTACAGTTCTACAGTTCGGAACCAAGGATAGATATGTGATATTGAAGAGCAGACGCAGTTAGGAATGCGCATCTTGGCATGTCCGATTAGGTTGAACTAATCGATATTTAGTCCGATAGTGCAGTTGATATGAAGATCGGTGATACGGGGAAACTGGGTTGGAACCGTTAGATTGAATGGAAATTGGAAGTAGACGTCAAGACCTCAGCAACTGGGGTAACTTGACGTCGGATCCATACTCCAGGCACGGCCAGCACTAGGCAACCATCAGAACCGTAGCGAAATAATGCACTGGACTCAGGGATATCAGGATCGCCCGGGGCGGCGGACATGGGCAGCACCAGTGTTTCACCTCTCGCTTGCCCCGTCTCTCAGGCAACTGCGGCCCATGTGATTCGCAGCCCATCAATTTCACGTCGGTTCTTCCTGTCTTGTCCCCCTTGCGACTGCCACTTCTGCCTTCTTATCTGTGGTTCGTGTCTTCCTTTTCCAATGAACTGATTGATTCTTTGCTTGTGTTTTTTTTTCTTTTCTTTAAAACCATTTCATTCATTCCCATCTCCGGTGTTCTCCTGGTCTTTACACACTTCTTCATTGGCCACCCCTCCTTTCCCTTTGGCTACCCCAGTTTCCACATTCGTTTCCGATAAACATCTCCTCTAGTCTTCTGCGACCATGGCCATTTTGAAGGACATCTATCAGAGATTCCTGGTGGGCCCCAGACCTGCTGCTCTGGCCCCCGATGTCTCCGTGAGCTACATCACCACCACGACCAAGTTTGACGGTGCCGACGCCGTGCTCTCTCACCTCACCAAGCAAGATCATGTTGTCAAGCGCAAGTCGGAGCAGGTCATTGCTGGCATCGAAGGCGACAACTCCGTGTGTGTGGACGTTGAGACCACCTTGGAGTTTGTCTCTGGTGGGGGTGTCTATCTCCCATCGCTGGATGATAATTTCCTGGCCGACCGCGTCGCGACTTTCCCCACGGTATGTACACAAACAAAACCCCCCTCCCTCTGCCTGCTACGCATGCTGTGATCTGCTCTGGGGACTGACTCTTCCGATATTTGACAGCTTCATGTCGTTCATTTCAACTCTGAGAACCAAATCCAGCAGATCCGAATCTATTGGGACCAGGCGTCGCTACTGAAACAAGTCGAGGTGATCGGTGTTCGTGGTCGCGGCTGGCCCATTCGGGAGGCGAAAGAACAAACGCGCTTCATTAAAACAGCCGCATCGCTGGCTGCTGCCCCTACGCGCCGTACGAACCAGAGTAACGACGACCCCGAGAACGGTGATGAGTCTAGTAAACGTGGCTCCCCCGGAAAGAAATATATTAAGGACCCCCACGCAGCCGGATCCCTGTACGAACTGCTGTCGCCCGAGAAGGACCGCGCCGAAGCCGTACGCGCTCCTCGTGCCCCTGCCTCCGCGAAGCCTCCGCCGCGTGAATACAATGAACTCTTCGTGCACGCCGACGACCCGGATGACGAAGATACCCCTGACGCGACGCCTTCCAAGTCTAGGAACGTTGCTCCCAAAGCCGGGGCAGGAAGGAAATTTGGAGCCTCGCGCATATTCGATGACGATGCGACCGTTGCAGCCGAAGGCAGCCACCCAATGATCGCCTATCGCGCCAACCCCAAGCGGTTCGATCATTTTGAGATCGGAGCAGACAACAGCCAGCGTGAGGTTCAGGAGGTGCCCTCGCGTCCAGGATCTCGCCATGTTCCGCACTGGGATTTCGACGACTTTGCGACGCCTGAGAAGCCCAAACGCCAACCTCGTGGCGAGGAAATCCGTCATTTTGGCTGGAGCGACGACGAGCCTGAGCCCACGCCCGTGTTTCAAAAACATGTGGCCCATCCTCGCCGCGACGCGAAAACCCACTTCAACTTGACCGGCGACGGCGAAGACCAGGAGAAGAACAAACCCCGCTACATCCGAGCCTACGGAAACAAAGGCATGTCTCTCTACAAGAACCATATGTATGATGACGCAGATGAGGATAAATCCAATGAAAACGTCCCGCTTGCATCAGCCCACAACGGAAGGGAATTCGAGAGCCACTGGACAGCCGCGGACGAATCTCCTGTCGATGGCAAGTCCAACGAAAACAAGAAGCCTGTGGGCGCAGATCGCCAGAAAGCGCTCAAAAACATGGAATCCCAATGGGAAGCCTATGACGAATCCCCTCAGCCCAGCAAATTCGTGCGTCCGCCCCCGCAGCGTCGTGCCTTGCGCAAGGTTAACGAGAGAAGCTGGGGGATGGGTGACGAATAAATCTCCGATCCCGTCCTCTTGGCTGATACCTAGATTCTAGCTGGACGTAGATCCCACATGATGTTTTTACTCACCATTTACTATTAGACGAAGCTAGCCTCATGACATCTCCAACTAACCCATATGTGTACAGCGATATTGTGAGCGTGCAATGGCCAATACTGTATGGATTTTCTCTTCCTTGTCGACCGGTGTATTTTCTTTATGTCTCATCTATGGCTTGGCTCTTATTTCGTTTCCTTGTATCTTTTCTCTTTACATTTTGCTCGTTTGACAGCTCTGATATCTGAACCAGTACTGAGTACTGGATTGTGTATGAATCCGTACAAATCAAACGATAATGAAGTACGCTTTACATTTTCATTTATTCCTCTTGCTTGGTTGGCTTACGAGGAAAGGAAAGGAAAGGTAGATATTTCGACATTTGACATTGAACCATCAAACTTAACCAGGAAACAACATCCAGCATTGCATAAAGTAACAATGAAGATGAAATAAAGACAAGACGCATGCCAATCTGTAGGTTCAAAAAAAATCACAAAAAAACCAGAACGCATCGAAATAGACAGGTATCCATCTCCAGAAAAAACCCAGGGCGTACATGCATGCATGCATACATTCTCTGCATATATATAGAGCTGATATGTACCTAGGTAGATAGACCAGCCAACGCTTGCTCCTCCATCCAAATGTAATGATTTACATGGTACATCATCATGTCCAATACATCCGAACTAACCAATCAATGAATCAATCAATCAATCGGGTTTATGTTTCCAATTTGAGTATTGATAATCGATATGGCAAAGAATGATGGTGATAAGGATGGGAAATGGGAAATGGGAAATGGAATGAGATGGGATGAGATATGTAAGGATGTGGCTAGGTAGGTAGGAATAGGAGGCAGGCAGGAACGATATTAAGAGAGAGAAGCAAAAAGATGACAACGAGCCAAGTGAAGAATAAACTATTCATGGGATATTGACGTGAGAATGAGTAAAAAGATACGGTTTCATCAATGCATACTCGCATACTCACATCTAGATGTCTCACAGATAGATAGATTCTCACTTTTCCCAACTAGATGTAAAACATGGTGTCTTTCACATTGGGATGGATCGTCACATCAGAGGCCCGGACCTGCGAGCTCTGTTCGCTGCCGGTGGCCACGCTTCCAGTGGGGGTTTGCTCGAAGACGTGGCTGAGGTAGCACCGGGCCCGGGTACACACCAGGTCGGCGTAGTACGCGGGCGGGCAGATGCTGACAGCCTTGGTTGCCCGGCCAAAGAGGTAGCACATATGGTGAGTGAGGGCTTCGAGTACGTCTGCGGCATTTTGATAGGGAGGGATTGGCTTTTGGCGGAAGAAGATCTCGTCCCAGACCGTGAAGTAGTGCGCAGGACGCGCAGTCCCCTTGAGGGCCGTGTGCGCCTGCAGGAAGAAGTCCCAGTTACGGGCTTCGGTGACACCACGGTCGACGACGGTGCCGTTCTTGGTGTTGCTCGATCTATCGGCATTACCAGGGTCAGTGGGGTAGAAGCGAGTGTGGTGGCGCTTGCCGACGATGAGAATTGAAATACGGGGCAGGCCCTTCGCGGTGTCGGTGGCAGGGTACATTTCCTGACAGGCTTTCCGGAGAAGGGGCAGCTCTTCCTGGATGACCATGTCATATTGGCCTTCAGACACGCCGTCCCGGTAGACGATGAGGTTTTCGGGAAGGTTGTTCTTGTGGCCTCGGGCCCAGCGATGGAGATGCACCTTCAGCATGTTGTCCAAGTCTTTGACCATTTCTTCACGGGACGCCTGGACGCAGAGCTCGGCGGGCCATTGGCCGAGGGAGGAATCAATAGAAGCGACCATGCCTGCGACACTAGGGGCATTTCTAGAAGAGCCGGGAGATGGATGAGTGACGTCGATTCCGACGAGCATCGTCTTCCCTTCGCCGATGATGCCCAGCGGGGTCTTTTCCAAGGTTTGGTTAGTACCACCGAGTTTAAGATTGACTTTAAGACCGACGTTGGCGTAGTACTGGTCGTTGGCACCGCTGAGTTTATCGGCGAGGACGTTGACGTTGCGTACGCCATAGTGGATGTCACATGCCTTCTTGACCTTGTTGTATAACTCGCTGTCTGCGTCTGGCAAGACGGTAAAGATCAACTGAGGCTTGGGGGAAGTGGCCATAAGTTCAGAAATTGCCTGATTAACCTGCTTCTCCTGCTTCTCCAGTTTTTCATTTGGAGTTTTTTGAGGGTCACGGTCGAGCATCACCTGCTTCCCAGGAATAAAACTCATATCTCTTGTCACGACACCCATCTGGGTCATCTTGCCGATAATCCCTTTAAGATGAGCTTCAACCGCCTTAGAGTCCTGGAAGTATCTATTACCCGGGGCAGTGAACCAGACATATGAACAGGAGGTCAATCTGCCGGGCGTGGAAAATTTGATTGACCTCATGTTCCAGCTACCGTTCTGGGGTGTGATCAGCTTTGGTTCACTGTACGAGACGTTAGGGCACGGAAGAAGTCGACCGGGAACCTTGATCAGATTCAGGTCCGCTTTAATTCCAAAGTCTCCCTGTTGTGGGCAGTTAGTCTCCAGTCAGAGTCTTATGTTTAGTAGTAGGCTTACCAAAGTAGAGTTAGGCGGCGAGAGAGCGAGCACTCTATTGCCGAGATTGGCTATCGACTCTGCATTATCTACAGGCGTGCGGACCGCGAATTTCAACATGTTCCGTGTTTGATTGGGCGTCAGCTTCGAATTAGCAGGCTGACCGGGCTCAACCTCACATGCCTCGACGGGCAAGTAACTGGGGTTCTCCACCGTGCCCACGTTTATGACCGGCATGTTAGAGCTGGTGTCCAGGTCGTAATCTGCAATGGTATATTAGCCTAGCACACTTGTAGCGAGACCGCGCTCTCGGTATTAATGACTTACGCTGCTTAAAGAAATCGGCCACGCTTATGTATTTCCCGGCCGGTGCAGGCCCTGCCTTTACAGATTTCTTACCCTTGCCCTTGGGGGTCGCAGAGCTGCTCTGCTGTGAGGGTTGCTGACCAGGAGCATCCAGAAAAAACAGAACATCTCTTGGGCCCGCGCCGTACTTGGATACCTTTGGGGGCATGGGCAGGTTTCTGCCATCAGCCGGCGTTGCCAGATTGCTGATAGTCTTGAATCTGGGGACAATTTCGCCCTTCTTGTTCTTCTTCTTGATGTGGGTCACCCGCACCCTGAGTCGTTTGAGGAAACGTCCTAGATTGTGCAGGTCACGGCTACCCCCTCGAAATCTGTCGATCACGAAGCCCAAAGGAGCTGCCTGGTAGCATGCCACATATTTGACCTGAACGTTCACGAGAAGACGAGCGGTGGCTGTTCGTACACTGACGAAAAACCCTCGCAGAGCCTCAATACCGTTACCAAGATCTTCCTTCACTTGAAGCCCTTGGCCAATTCCAAAGTGCTTGTTGGCGCCAACCGATGTGATTGCCGAGTTGGTCTTAGGATGATGTCCCAGAACAATGTTTATAGCCTGTAAGGTATCATACTTGGAGCCGAATGCAGCGGCGGGGTTCGTAGAGGTCAGATAGGCTAGCAGGTCGGAAGGGCTGAGCGTGCCCGTGAACTGGGTGGTAGTGCGGTAAACGTCTGGGTTCTCCAGATACTCGTCTTCATGCTCACTACGATAGCGGACATCGTATTGAGGGGAGTCAAGATCCAGTTTCACGTGTGAAATCAGGGTCGACTTGTAATCCGTGACGATGCTGTTTTTCACCGATCCGAAGCGCTCTTCAATCAGCAGGCTGATTATCTGGCGAAGCTTTCTGCCGGTTGGCGACGCGTTGCCTGCAATGTCGACAGAATACCTGAACAGCTCCTTGCCAACCGACTGAAGCTCGAAATAATTGGCATAGAGCATGAGCGGGGTACCCCGCGTGCCGTATCCCGGTCGATCGGGGTAGCTAGTGACACTGCGTTGCTTGGTCTTTAGAGCTGTGGCAACTGCATTTTCCGTCTTCTCAACCTGAGGGTTGACAGACACAGGCCTCTCAGGACTAGATATGGGAAACGAGTTTAGTGGTTTCGAACGGGATAGAAAAAGGTGTATAGAGAGGGAAATCCTTACGAGTAAATAACGGGACCTTGGGTAAAGCCTCCTCTGGGAGGGCCACCACCACGACCTCCACCACGGCCGCCTCGAGAGCCAGAGTCCTGACCGCGACCACGGCCTCTGTAGTCGCCTCTAGGATTGTTTTGACGGAAGGGCAGGTTGGTGGTTGAGTCGCGGCCACCGCCACGACCACCACCGCGACCACCGCGACCACCAGGTGCATCCCCACCCCCTCTGCCTCGGTCGCCGCCGCCGCCGCGACCACGACCGCGGGAGGGACCTCTAGGGGCCGACATGATTGGTAGTTGTTACTAGAGTTAAGAATGTAGAGATAAAGATGGGTTATAGAAGAATTTTTCGAAGGGAGAGTGGGTTGGAGGCTTGTTTAGGAAGAGGTGAGTGGAGAAGTAAGTAGAGTGAATGGGTGCTTGAGGGGAGGGTCCTGAGTAGTACAGACCGACCTCTCCAATTTCGAGGAGAAGAGAAACAAATGCCACAACGACGAGTTTTATTCACCCAAGCCAGAGACTGCAAGAAAGCCAGGGATGTGCATGCAGATTGAGCTGGCAAGCCCAGAAAGTACATAAGAAGAGTAAGTGACTCGTCGTACGGCAGAGGCTCTGAGAGGTTGGGGGGGGGGGAGGGGTTTGCAGATAGTTGATAGATAGATAATAATGATACGGCTACAAGTTCATTGTGAGGTCATGAGAGCCCTTTTTATGGAGAGGAAGAGAAGAGGAGAAATCCGTTTGTTTTGCAGGAGTCTTCCGTGGATCGGTTTGTTCTGGTCGGGAAGCTCCAGAAAGTAATTTACCACTTCACCTGACCGGGCGTTGTCAGGGTTGTATACTTACAGTTCTTACTTGGTAACTCAGGCTGTCAGGCTGTCAGGCTGTGAGGCATCCTTGAATGACCGCGCGTGGGAGTGTTGGCCTGAGGCATCAACAACGGGAGGCCCGCCAGTCTAGACCGCCTGTCTCATCGGGCCTTGAGTCACACAAGCGGGAGGCCGCAGGTGGAAGAGCCGGTCCTGTCGCTCCGGCGCAACGCGGAGAATTGGGAACAGTCGGGAATAGGAGTTTTGAATTCCATCTTGCGTACCTCGTAGGTATTATGATATACCCTATGTAGTTACTGTAATGTACGGAGTATCCGAGAAGTGATGAGTCCAAAAGTTAGGGAAACAAAGGAATGATCGGGCACTTGCCGCTTCCGGAGGGCTTACCTCAGCCAGGTGATAACGGAGATAAGAGGGGATTAACGCGCCGGGACGCCCATCACTAAGCAAACGCCCAGTCAGCCCGCTCAGTCAAACCAGCCTGACGTCTCGCTCACTTTCCTCTTGCGATCCCGCCTCGTTTCTGTGGAGGAGCTTGATCGCTCGGTCAAGAATCTCGTTTGCTCTTCAGTTGTCAATCTCCTCGTCGCTGTCCCATCCCGCCGCCATCTCGTCCTCTGAACCGCTTCTCTTTTTTCGCCCCAACCAATACGTACATCGTATTGCTCTACTAGTTCCAACAGGTTCGCCGCCAGCCCGTGGACTCGTTGCGCCCCTCCTTAACTTCCTCTCGTCAGCCATCTTCTCGTTTTTACTCCCCGGCAATCTGGCGCGAGTATCGACTGCCTACATCTCTCATCTATTAACCTCCGTACTCGCCGACGCCGCCGTCTTTTCTCGCTTCCTGGACTCTCCGCTGGGTAAAACAGCACCGAGTTTCCTATCGCCCCACGCTGAGATCCTTTTCGCGCTGCTTGGAACTGCCAGGTTGACCGCTGAGACGTGGTCCTTGGAATCCCCAGCTACCAAAGTGGGAATCTGCTTTCACTTGCGGCCTTTCTCAAAGCGCTGCGCTGCTGCTGTCGCCTACTCGAAGTACTAGCAGTAGATAGTTGGCGCCGTTCTAGTCTCCTGAGTCGCACCACTCCTGAGAGGGACTCTGGTGCAAACTCAGCACTATCTACCCCGCGCGAGTCGCCTACTCTTCTTCCACACGGTGGGGAAAATATTCTCACTTACACCCGTTATCTTTACTACTTCTTGTACGCCAAGACTCTGATCGGCAGCCCGTTCGTTCGTCGCAACGAGCCATTCCGTTAATATCGTCAATCGGGCCGGTGTAATCGGGTTGATGCTGGTGGGCGACTCCATAGTCTCACCTGCGCCCCTACCCCTCCCCAAAGGCAATTGAACAAACCACAATGACGCCCACCCCTCCGTCCACGACGTCCTCGAGTGCCGGCGGCGCATTCTCGCCGGAAGGCCACTTCAGGGTCATCCGAAAACGAAATCGTGTTCCTCTCTCCTGTGGTCCATGCAGGCATAGAAAGTAATTTATCTCTTCCCGCTCGCGATATATAGCCTTCTAGATGTGTTCTAACACGTTGTGACCAGACTAAAATGCAACCGTGCCCACCCATGTGAGAACTGCGTTAAACGAGGCGATGCTGCCTCCTGTTCATATGCCCAGGCCAGCACGCGCAAAAAGAACTCCCCGCAACAAGCGGCGGCGAGCTCCCCGGATGATATGCAGAACCGGATCGACCGATTGGAAAGCTTGGTTCTGTCGCTGATGACCAACGGATCGCAGTCCGCAGGCCCTGCCGCCGCCATGGCCGCGATCTCAGGCAATAGTAGCAGTATTAGCTCGGCCCAACCGACGACGGATCTGGACATCGACGAGGATGCGCATGGAGGGCCCGAAGAAAGTGATACTGAGCAAGTGACGAAATCATTTGGTATCATGAAGGTCGACAACAACAACAAGTCATACTATGTCAGCGAGGCTCATTGGGCGGCCGTGCTCAGCGATGTGAGTGTTCTCTCGCCGTGATCAATGACCGACACCGCTTATGCATATGAATCTTTAGATCGCCGAAGTTCGTAACTACTTCACCACGCACAAAAAGCAATACGAGGAGCAGGCGGAAAAGCTCAAGACCACGATGCTCCCAACCGATGTGTCAGGTTCGGCTCTTCTATTTGGTACGAATAAGGCAGCCAGTCGGGAAGAGATCATGTCGTCGTTCCCCTCAAAATACACCACCGATATCTTGATCGCTCGTTATTTCAGTTGCTATGATCCCGCGACGCGTTAGTGAACCTCCCTTCCCTGATTTACTACATCAGACGTTACTAACCCTGATCTCAGACATCCTTCATGGCCCCACATTCCAGTCTCAGGTAATTCAATCCTTGGCACGGAAACTTGGACTTCTAGTATTAACAGTTATGGTAGTATAACAAGCATTGGGAGGACCCCTCAGAGACCTGTATCGTCTGGATTGGCATGCTCTTTGCTATGATGCGGCTTGCTATGCTGTCGTATCATCGGGAAGGGGATGAACCTCCAGAATTTAGGGGCAAATCTCTGGACATGGCAGGAACGTTTCGAAATTTGATGGCACAGTGTCTCACGTTGGCCGATTATACTAAGCCTTATCCTTATTTGATCGAGTCACTAATATTCCATCTTCATGGTGACTATTGTCAGTCGAAGGAAGCGGATGTATCGGTTTGGGTGCTTGTGGGTGTGATCACGAGGTTGGCCATGAGAATGGGATACCATCGGGACTCTAAAATGTTCCCTAACATCACTCCCTTCCAAGGAGAAATGCGGCGGCGCGTCTGGGCTTTTGTGCGTCAAGCCGATCTATTGTTCTCTTTCCAGGTCGGTCTACCCAGCATGATCCGTCCCTTGGATAGTGATACCGAGCTGCCTCGCAACTTGTACGACGACGATTTCGATGAGGAGTGCAAAGAACTTCCCCAATCACGCCCACCCAATGAACCTACTCCGATCTCGTTTCTCATCGCCAAAGCACGTTTGACTTTGGCTTTCGGCCTCGTTGTCGAACAATCCGCGCCGCTCCAAACTCACTCATATGATAAGGTCATGGAGGTGGATGCAGAGCTTCGTAGAGCCAGAGATCTGGTTCCTGAGCATCTTCTTGTTCGCCCCATTGAGGAGTCGCAATTAGATCCTTTGAATATTGTCATGTCGCGATACACGGTACGTTCTTTCTGATAGGATATTTAGTCAAACAGGCCCTAACGTGCCTCCAGGTTATGAGCGTCTACCATAAAGCGCAAATTGTTCTTCATCGGCGCTATCTTGTTCGAGCACGCGAAAACCCTCGGTTCACATACTCCCGAAGGTCCTGCATTGACTCCGCAATGGAGCTTTTGCGGTTCCAGTCGATGCTTTATGTTGAGGCCGGTCCCACTGGCCGTCTGCAAAGCAGACAGAACCGCGTCACTGCCCTCTGTTCCACCGACTTCCTACTTGCTGCTACCATCGTTTCCCTTGATCTCTACCATGGGCATCAGCTGCAAGCGGGAGGGCGAGCTTCGGGTGATACCTACGCATGGGGCAGAGAACGCCGTGATGAAATGCTGGCCGCTTTGCAGCGCTGCAAGGAAATTTGGGACGGGCTAAGTGACGAGGCGATGGAGGCCTGGAAGGCTTCGGGCGCACTTGGAGTAATGCTTTCTCGGTTAAATCTGGGACACTCCGATACCAATGCGTCTGCCCCAGCATTCGAACCGCAGGATGAGAAACAAAATGCTGCAATGACCCTGGGGCTACTTAGTAGTGGAATGAGCCCTATGAATCCGGGACCGCCACCATTCAACGATGGTGGACTAAAGATGGAAACATCAATGCCAACGCCAGGAGGGCTTGGAACAACAGCTACCGATCTCACCGGCGCCCCTTCACCTTTCAGTTCCATGTTCGGACAGATGCCTGACATGCAACTCAACCTGGACTGGGTATGATCTTTTATCTACCTCCAATTTATTCCATACCATGGCTAACAAGACATTTAGAATGCTTGGGACACTTATATTCAAAGTTCAACGATAGACCTCTCGAATCAATGGTGGCCATCCATGGACATGCAACAACAACCACCACCACCACCGCAAGCACAACAGCAAATCCCGAACCCGCTATCTCCAAACCAGTTACCAACGCCACAAAATCCTTCCCCAGACAGGTCTCGACCGCTACCATCCTTCCCTAATATGTTCTCGCCGGGAAATACGGGGTTCGATAACAGTAACCCGAATCCAACCGGCGTCTAGGCGCTGGTGATTCCCAATCTCCAGAAAAAATCACTTAAAATTTAAAAGCGTACATTTTATCTCACCAGGCTCGGTTTTGAATGCCGATCTGCTATAATTGTCTATTCTACAAAACGGTGTTATTTTGATCATAGGAGTCCGATATCATCTGAATTGAAGCGGCTTTTGCGGTGTGAGCGGCATGATGGTGAGGTAATGAGTTTGACATGAGAAGGATTTTTCTCACGGTGTATTGTTATGAAGCTATTTTCACAACACCCTACTCTATATTAGGAACACGTTAAATATATTTGGTATAACATGAATACGGAAGCTATTGCATTGGGCAATTTGTTCTGAAGACGCTTTCTGAAAAGGGAATTGGCTGGCTCATTCAATTTGGAGCGGGCTAATTTGTTCTTACGTGGTCTTATTGGAGCTTAACTAGAGGTGGCCATGTTGAGCAAGGAGACGGAAAAACCAAGAAAGACCAGCCAGGCCGACATTGGAATGGCCATGTTAGCTATACGTACGGAGTAGACTGTCTAGAATGGGTGGATGTGGAAAGGGAAATGGACCCGGCTGTTTATCGCCGGCTTGGCACAATTTCACGTGACTGATAAGCAAAGGTTTTCCCGGCAGGAATTTCTGATAGAAAACATTGGCTGATCTGGTTTGGATTTTCCTTCACATCGCAGATATCGCTAATTTCCCTCGATTTTATTCCAGAATGTGAGTCACTGGAGCCTGAAATTCTTGATTGAATTGCTTGGTAGATACACGAAACTAACACTCGCTCCCTCGACAGGCATTGCTTCCGCAGGGCCGCAAGTCGGCTGATTACCTCGACGACCTCCACACCGGCACGCTCGTCGTGGATGCTTGCTTCTCGCTCGTCTCGCACGACATTGCTCCCTCGATTGCCGCAACCGCTCTCCCAGTATCGATGGAACAGCAATGAGGCGTCAAACCAGCCCGAACCCTCGAAGCAGGACGCCGCGAAGGAACAGGACATCAGCAATGAACAGGTGATCGAAGCTGCCACCCAGGCTGTCGAACAAGGAATCACGAGGACGAATGAAATCGCTTCCGAGGTAGCGGCATCAGGAATTCAGGAGCAGATGCCCTCTCTGGAGTCACTCCAACAGACTGCCGAAGCAACCCCTGGAATGGCCAAGCGCCGGAAACGCATGCAGGTTCTGGGAGAAGCGCCTAAACCGAAGGAAACTATCTTTGTCGGCAATCTCTTCTACGATGTGACGGCGGAGGATCTGCGGAAGCAGGCGGAGAAGTATGGAATCGTGGAGAAAGTCCATCTTGTTTTTGATAACCGGGGAATCAGTCGCGGGTGAGTTCCAGTCCATCTTAGGGCGAACGAGAAAAAAAGGAGAAGAAAACTTTCTAACAATGCAAAACACGCAGATTTGGTTATGTTCAGTTCGATACCATCGACTCGGCCAGGCGCGCCCTCGAAGCAATGGATGGGCGCGTTTTTGAGGGGCGTTATACCGTCGTGCAGTTCGCGAACACTAACCTTGACCGCCAAAAAGCGCTGAAGCCTCCATCGCGCGCGTTATACATTGGTAACTTGGCGTTCGAGATGACCGATCGGGATCTCAATGAGCTCTTCAAGGACATTGTCAATGTGATCGATGTCCGCGTGTCGGTTGATCGTCGTACCGGCCAACCTCGAGGATTCGCTCATGCCGACTTTACCAGTATCCAGAGTGCCACAAAGGCACTTGAAATCCTCAGCAAAAAGGCGCCGTACGGAAGAAAGCTATTTGTCGACTACAGCCATTACACCAAAAAAGGAACTTTCGGTAGGATTAAGGACCAGGAAGAGGAGTAGAGTGACAGGATATTTGAGCGGTACCTTCTTTTAAGGGGACCATTTAGTGTTTTATATGGCGAAGATTGCCACTATCCAGATCTGTATCATAGTTCATTATTAGCATAATCAATCCGGTACTTATACATTCACTCCGTACTCCGTACTACTGATAGGAAAGTTGCCGCCACGTGACGGGGGGACCTCGGCATTGCCCTTTTTCCCGATCGGCTCTAGAGTGTCTCCGAACCCCACGTTTGGCCGTGAGTGCCATTACTGATCAATCGATCATCTTTCCTCCTCCGCTCGCTTTCCCTACCGAACCTCGTGCCTTTACTTCCTCTTCCTTTTAACTCGGAGCCCTCATACTGAATGCTATAACCCGCCGCGGAGTTGTCACAATTCTTTCAAAATGTCCTTCCTCGGTGGCGCTGAGTGCTCGACGGCGGGAAACCCATTAACGCAGTTCACTAAGCATGTCCAAGATGACAAGTCCCTGCAACGGGACCGTCTCGTCGGGAGAGGTCCCGGTGGCATGCAGGAGGGCATGCGGTCGACGGGGATAATGGGTGGTCAAGATCAGGTACGGGAGGCGCCTCGAATTACGCAGCCGTTGATAAATCTATGCGCTCCATGCTAACAGAACGCTCCCGGAATCATTTTAGATGATGGATGAATTCGCCCAACAGCCCGGACAATTGCCCGGAGGCCCTCCGCAGCCCTTCGCGATGGAACATCTCCGACGCGAGTTAGATCACTTCCAGACCACTCCGCCTCGAACGGGCTCACCCGGTTGGGCCGCGGAATTCGACGCCGGAGAGCACGCTCGCATGGAGGCTGCCTTTGCCGGCCCTAAGGGCCCTATGATGAACAACAACTCGGGATTTACACCGGCGGAGTTTGCCCGCTTCCAGCAGCCTCAGACGTCGAGTCCCGTTACCGCGGGCCCTTCTCCGATGATGGGTGGCTATCAGCGTCCGATGGGAGGTATGGGATACATGGGGATGAGTGGAATGGGGATGATGAGGCCCTCGTACGGCCCGATGGGCATGCAACAGCCGCAGCAGCCGGGCGAGGCCATGACCCAAGATAAGGGTAAAGGGCGCATGGTCGAGCTGGACGACGAGAATTGGGAGGCGCAGTTCGCGGAGATGGAGACCGCGGGTAACCAGAAAATGGACAACGAGGCTAATGATGCTATCGAGGCGGAGCTGAACGATCTTGACAGGTCAGTCCCAGTTCCTTCAGATTGTGGTGATTTTGAGCGCATATGGGAAAAAGTTCAGGCTGAGACGGCAGCAAGCAGAAAACTGGCAGAGGAAAACACAGACTTTAACGTGAACGAGAATCTTCACATGGGCGATCTCGGCGAGTGGGATAGCTTTGACACGCTCAACACCCGGTTCCGTGACCCTCAACTCGGCGACTACATGTTCGAGGAGGATAATGTGTTCCGAAGTGTGAACAATCCTTTCGAGGAGGGTGTGAAGATCATGCGTGAGGGCGGTAATTTGTCGCTGGCCGCTCTCGCCTTCGAGGCTGCTGTACAGAAGGACCCCCAGCATGTGCAAGCCTGGACGATGCTGGGATCTGCCCAGGCCCAGAATGAAAAGGAACTTCCTGCCATCCGTGCTCTGGAACAGGCGCTGAAGATCGACGAACACAACCTGGACGCTCTCATGGGACTGGCTGTCTCCTACACCAACGAAGGCTACGACTCAACGGCCTATCGAACCCTCGAGCGCTGGCTTTCCGCCAAATACCCCCAGATTATCAACCCCAAGGATGTTTCCTCCGACGCAGACCTGGGATTCACGGATCGCCAGATCCTCCATGACCGAGTCACCGATCTGTTCATCCAGGCAGCTCAGCTGTCACCATCAGGAGAGCAAATGGATCCCGACGTCCAAGTCGGCCTGGGTGTCCTCTTCTACTGTGCCGAGGAGTACGACAAGGCTGTGGACTGTTTCTCTGCCGCACTTGCATCCACCGAATCCGGAACCACAAACCAACAGGAGCAGCTGCACCTCCTATGGAACCGTCTTGGAGCCACGCTTGCCAACTCAGGCCGCTCCGAAGAAGCCATCGAGGCCTACGAACAAGCCCTCAACATCAACCCTAACTTCGTGCGTGCCCGCTACAACCTCGGCGTATCGTGCATCAACATCGGCTGCTATCCCGAAGCCGCACAGCATCTGCTGGGCGCCTTATCCATGCATCGCGTGGTTGAGCAGGAGGGCCGGGAGCGTGCGCGGGAAATCGTCGGCGGTGGAGAAGGTGGCATCGATGACGAGCAGCTGGAGCGCATGCTTCATGTCACCCAGAACCAGAGCACTAATCTGTACGACACGCTACGGCGAGTCTTTAGCCAGATGGGACGTCGGGATTTGGCTGATATGGTGGTGGCTGGAATGGATGTGAACGTCTTCCGGAAAGAGTTCGAATTTTAAATGATGTAATTTCTCGTTTTTGTTTTGTCCCCTTTTTTTATATGTCCATGTCCCTTCAGTTGTAAGGAGGAGTTTAGAACCGGGTTTATACTATGGTTGCTATGTTTTAGTCGATCTTTGGATACCATGATGTCCTTATGCGTGAGGTACAAATGCAGTGCATTCGCTTTAGAGGTGTATGATCTTGATAGTCTGGAATGACGTTTAATAATGTCCTATCAAATGTACTCCATAGTTGACCGTAGAATCCTATCCCCTGTTGCCTATCGTCCGTGGTGGAGAAGGATGGTCCGCATCAGGCATCTCCGAGGAAGCCTCGGGACGAGCTTCTCCGCAATATCGTTCTCCGCGACATCATCAACCTTTCCCCATCGGACTGCTGAGCGGCCATCCTCCTCCTAATACCCATGTTACCATTCCTTGTCTAAATAACTTTTTCATAGATTCGATCAACTATAGTCGATCATGGCTGTCGCAACGGGTGCCCAGCTAATCGCCCGGACGCTGCACGATCTAGGCGTCACCGTGATCTTCGGCATCGTGGGGATCCCAGTAGTCGAGATTGCCGAAGAAGCCATCAACCTGGGGATCCGATTCGTGGCATTCCGTAATGAACAAGCCTGCAGCTATGCTGCCAGTATCTACGGTTATATGACGGGACGACCTGGCGTCTGTCTTGTTGTCGGAGGACCCGGAGTTCTCCATGCGTTGGCGGGGGCAAGTACACCCATTCAAAAGACACATATGTCTAAGATATACTAACATCTCCTGTTGGTTTCTCTATGAAGATTGGAAACTCCTCTGCGAACAACTTCCCGCTGTTAGTCCTTGCCGGATCGGCCGAGACAAGTGGCGTCACGAAGGGCGCCTTCCAGGAGATGGACGCCGTCTCGTTCCTCACTCCCCACACCAAATTCGCAGTGCGCACGACGTCCCTGGACTTCGTGAATGGGGCCGTTAAAAACGCCTATCGAACATGCTGGTACGGTCGCCCGGGGCCGACATTTGTCGATCTCCCCGCCGATATCATCCAGGGGAAGTCCGCGCCTGGATTTCGTCTGCCAGCGCCGGAAACCACGCTGGTCGCGGCACCGCCCAAGACGGCCGGCGATCCGGCTTCGATCGCGAAGGCCGTGGAGCTTCTGCGGACCGCTCGTGCGCCGCTGTTAATAGTCGGCAAGGGTGCCGCGTATGCGCGGGCGGAATCGGGCATCTGTCGACTGGTGGAACAGACCCAGGTCCCGTTCTTGCCTACCCCCATGGGTAAGGGTGTGGTACCGGACTCCCATCCTCTCAATGCGTCAAGCGCCCGCAGCACGGCACTGAAGCACGCGGACGTCGTGCTGGTCCTCGGCGCGCGGTTGAACTGGATCCTGCATTTTGGGGAGCCGCCCAAATGGTCTCTCAGGGCGAAGATCATCCAGGTGGACATCTGCGCCGAAGAGATCGGACGGAATGCCGGAACCGCCGAACTAGGTATCATCGGTGATGTCGGACTGGTTGTGGATCAGCTGTTGGCCTCACTGTCGAACTGGCGCTATGCCCCTTCCTCCTCCCCGGACGGCCAGTTCTCCTCTCTGCTCGCAGAATCAGCCAAGAAGAACGAGACCAAAGCACAGAAAGCCGCGCTCCTTCCCACCTCCCCCGGCTCGCCGTTAACATACCAGCGAGCGTTCCAAGTCATCAAGACTACGCTCAACTCCTTGACCCCCTTGGAAGACGGAAACATCGTCTATGTCTCCGAAGGCGCCAACACAATGGACATATCCCGCTCGGCCTTCCCCCTCAACCACCCCCGTCAGCGCCTAGACGCCGGCACATACGCTACAATGGGCGTGGGGATGGGATATATCGTCGCCGCGCACGAAGCCTATAACGCGACGCCCCAGCAACCCAACAACAAGCAGAAGAAAATCATCGCCTTAGAAGGCGACAGTGCCTTCGGCTTCAGCGCCATGGAAATCGAAACCATGGCGCGATACCGCATCCCAGCCCTAATCTTCGTGATCAACAACTCCGGCATCTACCACGGCGACAGCACCACACAAAATGCGTGGACGGCGCTCCAAGACCAGACGATCGCCAACGATACCAAATCCGATGATGGCAAGAAGGGGCTCCGCTCTACGAGTCTTCTGTACGAGATGCGGTATGAAATGCTGGCCCAGATGTGTGGTGGGAAAGGGTTCTTTGTGCGCAATGAGCAGGAGCTGGAGCGTGCGACGAGGGCGGGCTTTGAGAGTGATACGGTCACGGTGGTGAATGTGATCGTGGAGCCTGGGATTGGGAAGAAGATTGGGTTTGCGTGGCAGGGTGATGCTGGGAAGGAGGGGATGGCGAAGTTGTAGATTATATTAACTACATAGGATTTCTTGCCGAGTTGGTTCTTTGTGGCTTGTGTGGTGTTTTCTGTATATTTCTGTGTATATATCGATTTTCGGTTGCTGGATTGCACATGTTGGGAAAGGGATCGATGGAAAAGAATAGAAAAGGTACCCTCGTTGCTCAAACAATGTCAGTCAATCTTACACTGGAACCGACTAAAAGAAACCGACACCATCCAGAACCGACATCAGAAGCCTTTCCAACCAACAAATACAGTGCACTCGGGGAAGATACCTGAGCCAAACCCTCTTATATAATGAAAGCTCCTTACAGGATAGGTAGTAATAATAGTAGTAGTGGGAAGACAAGTAAGAAGTAAGTAGTGCAATGGGCTACATGTACAGTACAACCAAACAACCAATTAGACCGTCATCATGACGCTGGCGTTCTTATACCAGGACAAGAGCGGGTTCTCGCCGTTCCTCGTCTCCGTGTCTTCAATGTATGCCCAGCGACTCATGAAGTCTTCGTGGCTCATGGTCTGGGTCAATTTGCCGGTGATGGCGCGGTAGAGGTCCTCGACGATGTCGAAGTCCGTGGGGAAGAAGATATCGAAGAAACCTTGTTGCACCTGGAGTTGTTTGGTTAGTTTTGGATTAAAGATTTACATTATTCTGTGACTGTGGGAGGCTTACAAAAGGAGTAGACACCGGGACGGTGCGGCGCTTGTAACGGGTCTGCACGACAGGTCCATTCAGTCCGGGAATGGCGTTCGGGAGGGTGCTGAAGTCGCTGGTCAAAAGGCGGTGTCCGGGGAAGTAGGTATTGAGGATGTCGAAGAACTGCATGAGGCGGGTGGGGATGTATTCGGGCAGAGTGTGTGGGATGCCGCGGTATTTGGCAATTCCCCGGTGCAAGGGCCGGGTGAGTTTGGTGCCCAAGGGCGAAGGGAACTCGCGTTGAGCGGCGGCCTGTCGGACACGTAGGAACCGAGATGCCAGGGGGTCGAGTTGTGTGTTGTAGTATTCGTTGAAATCGCCAAACTCGCTGATCACCACGCCGCCTTGCTGGGGCATCTCCGTTTGGTAGTTGTAACGAATGGCGTCGTGCGAGAAATTGTCGAACACCTCCATGGCCAGGAAAAAGCAGGGCGAGTGCACGTAGGTGTCCCAGTCGAAGATGGATCGGTTGATGATCTCGACGTGGTCTATGTGGCCGGCTGCGTGGAGCGATTCTTTGAGGTTTTGGAACTGGAGGTCGGCGAGAGCTGGCGAAATCTCGATGATGCGGAACTTCGTGCGCTGGTAGACCTCGTAGTCTGTATCGCGGATGAAGTCTAGCATGTTGATCATCAGCGTACCGTTTCCGGCACCCATCTCGTAGATGATCAGGTCGTGGTAGGGGTATAGTGTCAGCTTGTAGTTGGACACCAAGTATCGAGCAAGCGTTTCGCCGTAGTAGGGACGGAAAAGCTCGGTGGGCGTATGCCAGAGCTGACGAGCTATGTCGGGTTCCTGTAGATCCAGATTGTCCTCAAACTCTGTATATCGGTCCTCCAACAACTGATGAAACGAGGGCCCGTCGCTGATTTGGTTGAACTGGAACGGTTCACCGGGACTGAAGATGGTCGCGTGCTTGGTGAAATAGCCGTAATACGGATTGTATAAACTATCTATGATCGACGCGAAGTCAAAGTCAGTGGGCTGACTAGCAGGAGACGGTTGTATATAGGTATTCGTACCGTCAATGAATTCTCTAGTCAACATCCTTATGCGCCGCGGCCGCTCACGATTACGGCGCAGGTCCTTGGCCGTCACAAGAGGGTAGGTCATGGTCTCCTTAAAGTCCAACGGGTAATCCTCCCGTCTAGTCCAGTACAATGTCTCAGTGTCATCATACTTCATCTTCCTTCTCATTCGCGCGATGAAAGTACGAGACTGCTGACGGGGAGGTGTCGAGAAGCGCACAGTGCCGGGTCTGCGCGCGGGCAGAATCGAGGACGGCCGCGGACATTGGCAGGCAGGATATCGAAACAGCTGTCGAAACAGCTGATTCAGGACCGCGGAGTCCATGGTCCGAGGGGAATTGGCGATGGGGAGGAGGGTAGGGAGCGAGCAAGCAAGCAGGGGGAGGAGGGAGAGCTGCAAAAGGAATGATGAAAGACGGCGGCAGAAGATTCGCGGCAGGCGGAGGTCGGAGTGGCCCGTGCTTTTTCTCCGCCGTCGCCGTCGCCGTCGCCATCGGGCAGCGCTTGGATCGCACTGTTCTTGCCTCCTGTGGACGAACACACCAATCTTCCCAGGATGAGCGATCACTCGCGTGTCTACGTAGGCACGGCCTTCGTGGCTGGAGCTCTTCTGACCCTCGGAGTCAAGGATCTCTTGTATCCGGAGCTGGAGCAGCTTTTCCGGAACTCTCGCCGTGAATCCAATGCGACAATTACCCTTCAAGACCTTACCAAAGATGACGATGTCCCAATTACTAGATCAGGCCCTCCAGCCATCGTAGAGGGTATCGAGGGGTGTATAGGAAATACGCCTCTGTTTCGAATCAAGTCATTGTCCGAGGCAACTGGGTGCGAAATTCTAGGAAAGGCCGAGGTAATTTCCTCTTACCAGGATGTTCCTAATCAGCTATCTAGAACCTATTGTGCTAACTGGCTGGACAGTTTCTCAATGGTGCCGGTCAAAGTTCTAAAGACCGGGTTGCGTTGAGCATGATTCAAATCGTACGTCTCAGCCACTGGTCTGATTGAGAGTTCCTCTGACTGTAATGTAGGCAGAAGAACATGGTATTCTAACTCCTCATTCGGGTGATACCGTCTATGAGGGTACTTCTGGCTCAACGGGCATCTCGTTGGCCTCTCTAGCTCGTGCTAAAGGCTACCTGGCTCACATGTATGTTCTTGTGCCATTAGCTTTCGCAGTGTGCTGTTAGTATTAACACAAACTACCAGTTGTATGCCATCCGACCAGGCGGTCGAAAAGTCCGATCTACTCCTCAAACTAGGTGCGATCGTGGACCGTGTTCCGCCTGCTCCGATTGTCGAGAAAGAGAACTTTGTTAACCGGGCCCGCGCCCTCGCACATGCTCACACTGCATCCTCTGCCAATGTATCCGATTCGGATTCCTCTGCCCAGGAGTTGGCCGAGACCTACGGCTCTACTCCGGGGAGGGGGTATTTTGCGGACCAATTTGAGAACGAGGCTAACTGGAGAGCGCACTTCAATGGCACTGGCCCCGAGATCTATGCCCAGTGCAATGGTAAATTGGACGCTTTTGTCGCAGGCGCTGGAACGGGCGGCACGATTTCTGGCGTGGCGCTGTTCCTCAAACCGATAATCCCGAATTTGAGCGTGGTGCTGGCCGATCCCCAGGGAAGCGGCCTCTACAACAGGGTCCGCTACGGCGTTATGTTCGATATCAAAGAAAGAGAAGGCACGAGAAGACGGAGACAGGTAGATACCATTGTGGAGGGTATTGGTATCAATCGCGTGACGGCCAACTTTGAGGTAGGCAAGGAACTGGTGGATGACGCTGTGAGAGTCACGGATGCACAGGCATTGGCAATGGCCAGGTGGCTTGTAGAAAAAGACGGCCTCTTCCTGGGGAGCAGCAGTGCTGTGAATTGTGAGTAACTTGTTGCTTTACTGAACGCATCAAACTTGCTAACCCTGACCTAGGTTTTGCGGCAGTCAAGACCGCGATGAGACTCGGACCTGGTCATCGAATTGTGACGGTCCTATCCGATTCCGGGTCAAGACATCTCTCCAGGTTTTGGGCTAAGGCAGGCAACGTTGGCGGTGCGGTCGACACAAAACTCGAGGATGTCTTGAACGCCAAAGATGAGCAATAGGAATATGGCCTATTCAGATTGCAAGTTACGACATGATTAAAGCCCAGATTATGTGAGAATAAATGATCACATTGATTATCAGCATGCTCCACAGTCAGTGCCCTGCTGATGCTAATCTATGACGGCTATCCTCGGTGATACTCGGTTATATGCAAGATTGCTCTTACGAAAGTACGCTTGCATGCCTCATCAATGCGCTGCCGACTGCAAATTGACAGTCGTTATTTTCATTCTCGCATTACACGTGTATTCAAGGGATGACTTCATCTCCGCTTATGAGATTCGTACCCAACAAGCACGTGAGCTTTGGATGGCATGGCCAAGGCTGTCATCCGCTCTCTAGACGAAGCGCCGTCATAAAAAAAAAAGGTGCATGATGTGGTTGCCTTCTGGCGAGGCCTACTGATGGCCTATGCGGACGTTTGTTTCTTTTGCTGACCGTTCCAAACATCATCGCCCACCCATAGACGAAATAGTTCATACTCCAGTTCTGCCTTTGGCCGTCCGGGAAATTCAGCCAGAATCCAGGACCAGGTGAGACCTCGTTGGTCTTTGATACCACTCAATGTTTCTCGCTCTCTGTGCGACCAAGACTCGGATCGAGGTGGGCTGGCACGACGATCAGTCCAATGATCCAGATTCCATTGAATAAGTTGTCTTTGATTTCTTCCTGGGAAAGATTCCAACACCTCCTTCCACTTCTTTCCTTCGACATATCTTTTAATTACGATTGTCCTTGCGTCGTCTGGCGTCATGCACATTCTAGATTTCCAGCTCGTAGGCGTTGCATCTTGAGTCGTAGCTGCATTCCCAATTGAGCTAAACCCCGTGCCGTCTAGCTGTACGCAAGGGATATCGACGTTTTTGGGGGCGTCCGGTTGCCGCCGTGCAGCCTTGTCATTAGCGACTGCATCTAGCTTCCTCCTGACTGAATTTATTTCATGTCGATCAGTAGGAGGATCCGCCGGAAGTACGGCTTTGGGAGTACCGCCCGACGTTGGCATTGCCTCTGGTTTTCACGGTATCTTTGGGAGTAGGAGGACCCGCCTGAAATACAGCTTTGGGAGTACCGCCCGACGTTGGCATTTTCCCTCTGATTCCCACGGTGGGAGTAGGAGGATCCGCCTGAAGTACCACTTTGGGAGTACTGCCCGACTTTGGCATTTTCCCCCTGATTTTCACGGTGTCTTTGGGTGTTGGTGACGGCTGGACTTCTTCCTGCAACGGGTCGTCGGATTCATTTCCATCGGGGGTTTCTGCAAAAGACCAGTCGAACACGACAGGGCTGGATGCAATCTTGCGACTCCGTTGACCAGCTCTTGGTTTCTTGGAGCTTCTCTTCTTGGCCGATGCTGTGCTTCGCCGGGAACTCCCTGGCAACGCCCAAATCGAGCCTGCGTTGGGTGGGGATTCAGATCGGGCCGCCTGAATGGCGGGTTTTGGGCGCGATCGATGCCAAGTGGGTGTTGAGAAATTCGCATTAATTTCAGGAACGCGCCAGAGTGACTCCACTGGCTGAGGTATGTTGCGACCAGGCTCGCGATCGGATTGGCCGGGTGTTTCAGCCGCAGAAATTGCTTTTTCTTTTTCTTCTGCACCTTTCCTGGCTCTCTTGGCTAGCGAGTCCCTCAGATTGTTCTGGACGTCCAGCGCAGTATCCAACAAGGAATCCACACTAGACCTATCGTCATCGGCGCCTAAATCGGCATTGGCTGCTTCATTCTGTGTCTCCTGTTTCTTCCTTGTCTCTGCCAGCCCTGGCCGTAATATCGGTGAGCCTTGCTGTCGCTGCCGTGACAAGAATATCTCCCAGTATCCTGGCTCCTCGTCCCCGTCTTGAGTCTCCACGTCGCTAGTGTTTCTGTTCACCGTATTTCCCTCTTCATCTGATCCAGGGGGGGTTGGTTCCTCCGCGGACCAATCTGCACCTGGACCGAATAGCCAGGATCCCTCTCCCTCGCCTTCCTCGCCGTCGTCCCCTTTCTCGCCAGTATCACGCTCGTCATCCATCCCTGTGAGGTGTCCGTTGTTGATGATTATATCACCTGTCTGCAGGTCTATCTCATCGCCCGCTTCTGTAAAATCCTTTTCGTATTTCTGAAAAATACCCTCGAAGATCGACTTGAGGCGCTGGTCATTTTGAAAACGAGCTTCCTGTAGATCTATGTCGTCTGTATCATCGTCTGCGCCATCCTCGTCCTGTTCTGTAAATGACAGCCGAGGTCTTTTCGAAGGCGGCTCCATGATACTTTTGCGGGGAGAGAGCGTCTGTGATAGACCGGTGGTCGAAGTTGGTAGGAAGATGATTGTTGCACACGATTGTTGTAGTTGAGAGGTCCAGGAGCGATTGTTGAGCTATCCTGGCGGGCTAAGAGTCAGTTTTCACTTCTTCAAAGGAGATGTAGAGGCGACACGAAGCGACATACTGAATCTGAGGGACGCGGCGCGACAGAAATTTAATTAACGGGAGAGACGCGACAAAAAGATGCGATATACGCGTTGAGGGGATTGGTGACAAAGAACACAGGGAAATAGGTTATCGAACAGATTAAGAACGCGCAATGATTCCCTTTAGACTCCAGGGCGCAATCGCATGTGGATTTTAGAGCTCTCGAGTGAATTGAGCCCGAGGTCAAGGGAATCAATCGCTGATGGAGAGCAATGAAACTAAGCTTCGGAAGGCGGACACCAAAACAGCGACCCGAGAGCACGGGGTCTGCATGACGTCTCCCGCAATGCCGCACCTGGACGGGCCCTTCCATCATCTCCCATCGATAACCATAAAAGATCACTCTGCTCCAGGCCGCGCACCCCTACTTGACAGCTCTTTTTTGTCACCATAATGAATGGGAATGACTCACTAATAGCCCGCCATCATGTACTGCCAGAAATGCCGGACTCCTTTGAAGCTGGACAGCTCGCTCGAGTCGCTCAACCCAGCGGTCTTCGATCTCCTCGCCGGTACCTTTTATTCCACCCTTGAAAAGCTTCACAGCCCGCTAATCGCAGCTTGAAATACTTAGGTTCTACGGGTAAAACCCTACCGGAATCGTCGTCTCGACCTTCCTATCCGCAAGAAAGAAATGAATACTACGACCGAGCCTCCCAGAATGCCAACTCCGCCGCGTACAGAAGGATGATCCCACCGCCGGTCACTGCGACCGGCAACCAGCACAACCCCAAGCTAGGACGTGGGGACAGCGGCAACATGTCCTTCGTCATGCTTACGGAGTCCCAACTCGGTCCGCCACAAATGACACCAGAGACGCAAGGCCTGGGCTCTCCGTCGAAAGGCAAACAATCATCCGGCACTCACACCAATGACAGCGAAGGGGAGTCACTCCCCTTTGCCGACCAGGTCGAGCGCAACAATCGCATTTTCGAGTTCATATCGGCTCACTCCGACATCGATCATCCCATCTGCACGGAGTGTACGGATCTGGTCATGATGGGGCTACAGAAGCAACTGGTCAATGCTACAAAGGAACGCGACGCATACATTTCCTTTCTGAGGACCCTCAACTCGTCAACGGTACCTACGAACGAAGAAATCGAGGCCGCCGAGAAATCCTTGAAGGAGACCAAAGAAGCCGAAGACAAGGCGTTTGCCGAGCTCGTCGCGCTAGAAGAAGAGAAGGCAGCGCTGGACCGGGAAATCGCCGAGCTGGAGGAGGAATCGCAAAAGCTGGATCTGCAGGAGGAGGAGTTCTGGCGTGGTCGCAACGAGTTTACACTCGAGCTCAACGGGTTCCAGGAAGAACGGGATGCTTTGAATATGAAATACGACCATGATTCTCGCCAGCTCGAAAGACTACAAAGAACCAATGTGTACAACGATGCTTTTTGTATCGGTCATGACGGCTACTTTGGGACGATCAATGGATTGCGGCTTGGTCGTCTAACCAATCCGTCCGTGGATTGGCCCGAAATTAATGCTGCCTGGGGTCAGACAGCCCTGCTCCTTGCAACGATCGCCGAGAAATTGGGGTTTTCGTTTCAAGGGTATCAACTCAAACCTCTAGGGGCCATGTCTAGGATTGATAAAATTGAGTATCCTCGCCCCTCCCCGGCTCAGTCCGCCATAGGTGGTGGGAATCCGACGACCCTAGGACCGCCTAAGACTACCACACTCGATCTTTTCTCATCCGGCGACCTGCCGCTCAATCTTCCTTGGCTTCACCGCCGATTCGACGCAGGAATGGTGGCGTTCCTGGAATGTCTACGCCAACTGGGCGAATTTGTGGAGATGTCACAGGCACCTGTATCCTCAAATCGCCGCGCTCAAACCGGCCCTCCGAGCCCGGCCCTGAAGCTCCCATACCCAATCAAGCGTGATAAAATTGGCGATGCGAGCATCAAGCTTGGTTTCAACCAGAACGACGAGACCTGGACCCGTGCCTGCAAATACACCTTGACCTGTTGTAAATACCTGTTGGCACATGCTAGCAATGTCGCTAATGTTGGTTCCAATAGTTCCGCGGCTGCTACGGCCGGTGAACAAACCAGACAGGTAACGTCCAGCCCTGCTAAGAAATAGGTAAGCCACGGCACACAGGGAAAAATGCGACATGCCTACAGACAAAGAATTTCCATCTGGCCGTCCCACTTTCCTCAAAGGGGGGTATCTGAAGTCCAGAGCACTTCGTCGAGTTGGTTGGTTATTGTGGCCCCGACTAGTTATGCGGATTCTGAAGGCCAGACCAATCATACTCTATCACGCATGAATACCTAAACGGCTTTCAGGGGGTATGTTCCGGTGTATGAGGGGCGTCGAATTCCGTGCCTCAAACCCGAGAGCCTAGAGAATCCGGTTGCAGGCTGGCCCTCAGCATGTATCTATCCGGATGGATCAGGATCACGCATGATACTTAATATCTTCCATCCTTGCGTTGCGCCCTTGTAAACCGTCCATCCAACCGGCCACGGTGGTTTTGTTGCGCATGAAACGGCGTAGGATCAACGCTACATTGCAGTAGCTGACATTCTCTTGCCACCCGGCCGAAATCTTTTTTTTTCTTTTCTTTTTCTACCAACTCATTTCGGGAGTCCTGTGATTCTAGAAGGCTTTCACACAGTTATCCCCAGGGATGTAATACATAATCTTGCCTTGCCCTTTTTGGAATCGCACCGTGGTGATAGTGTGACATGTTCATTCTGTACGACCACCATGCTTATAGTCACTTGTGTCACTTTTGCTTTCTATCAAACTTTGCCACGAACTTGCTCCCTGGCGGATAGAAACCCGACACAGGGAGGATAAAGCGGGAGATCATCACTTAGTCCAATACTTTCTTCGATCAAGAAGTGACAGGTAAACTGACACATTCCTGTTGCCAGGTGGAAGACAAGACTGACAGGCTTTTTTCTTCCCGCTGTCTCGTAGATCCATCTGGCCGACGTAATCCGCAGGGTATTTGGGATCCTCTCGGGGTGAGGAGGCTTTCTGCCACTCTCCACCTTTTTTCTGTCTTTCTCGCTTTCTTTTTTTATTTCATGGTTTCATTATTAATTCCAATGATTATTTTTTTTTCTTCTGTGATCAGAGCCCGACCCATGAACTCCCCCACCAGTCACAGACAGGAAGATAGAAAGGCGAACCCGACAAGAGGGACCAGGACAAGGGGCCTTCCTTACCAGTACTCCAACCTGCAGCGGCCCCTCGCACGAGAGAGGGAGAGAAACGAGAAGGCGAGAGCTCCTGTCTCCTCCGTAAGACCACACCGTAATACCAATGGACAAAAGGAACAAAGGGAACTAGAACTGCAGCCACATCGATTCGGCCATCCGGCGGACCCATGGCGCTGGGTCTGTCAATGTCATACAGCACTGGTAGTTACAAAAATAGTGACTGTGACTGGTAACTTGACCCGTCGTTAGGACAAGGAGTAGGAGTCTAGGACGTTGATCCTAGGTTGCCAACACGTCAACAACGTCAACGAGAAAATGGGGATGTTTTTTCGGGCCGCTTTTTATTATTATTGTTTTTTATTTTATTTTCCATACGGCCACACACGAGGAAGGTAAATCTTCCTCTTCCTCTTCCTTCTGGTCCTTTTTCCCTCTTTCCCCCTCTCGAGATCCCTGCTGGTTAGTTTCCTTTAGTGGGTTTTATTGTGGATTTGTGCTTCGGACTTGGAAGGGTCTACGGTCTACATTGAGCACGGTGTGGTGCAGTTAGGAAGTGGAAGATAATTATATTTTCCCTTTTTTCTTTTCCTTTCTGTTTTTGCTCTCTTCCTTGATTATAACTAATTATAAACAGTATGTTGCGCTTAGTGTTGAATTCTGTACTTTGCAAATTCAGTTTTTGCAAACCCAATTTACTACAATTACTTCTTTCTTCCATTTACATATATGTATGAAATCCCGTCCATCGTACTCTACTAAGTAAAGTACTTGGATTACTGAAGTCGAGACGGTGGCAACATCCTGCTGCGAATCATCGCGTCCGTTGTTGGTGGATTCATTAGCCGGAGCGAGGAAGGCAGGTTATTCGATGACGATCTGGAGATTTCGGACGCTGTCAGTGGAGGTTAGATCAGCTTCGGTTACGCTAGGTTACCTTTTCTTTTTCTTGCTCCCATTTTCTTTTTCTTTTTTGTTTATTTTGTTTTTCTTAATCCCCTCCTTTTTGGTAGTTAGGAAAGTACAGAATACGTCCCTAAGACTTGACCCTTACTTTGGGAATCCGGCCCGCCTAGGTACAGTACCTAGGTGGCTAGTTGTAGGAGGGAGGAGAGAGAGGAAGAAGGTACGGAGTAAGGATGAACACCAGGTGGGTAAGTATATCGATCTAGAATCTGAACCAGGAATGGGAATATCAATACGGAGTACTACTCCGTATGTAGAGAATTAGGAATTGGGTAATCGTTGGAAGGACTTTCTTCGGCTCTTTTCGGGATTTTCAGTACGGTGTATTCAATCCTGAGTACGCAAGTAATATCTATTTGAATTTTTGTTGTTATTATTATTTTTGGCGGTACAAATTCTTGTTTCTTTTTCCACGGTGGCGTACTTTTTTCCGTCCATACAATTGCCGTAATGGGCATGTGTGCTTTTTTTTTGTACGGATTATCTAGTTAGTTAGAGGAATAATACAATTATTCATACCATCATGGTTATAGATATCCATCGTCGAAATGAAGTTTTTCTCTAGGTATCTAATTTCGAATATCAACTGTCCTAGGTAGTGTCCAGGGGCGTGAAAAAACAAAACCAAACGATTAAAATAAGCTCCAACAATAAATAGGAGTCGGCCCTCAACCTTATCCCCATAGTACGGGCGTACAAATTTAAAACTAAATTTAAAACCCTTTTTTTCTTTGTTCCACCGCACAAAGTACAATCCTACCAAACCGGTGGATAAGCCCGTCTTTTTTAGCCTTACACAATCCTTGTTTCGGTTAGGCTGGGATCCTTGATTCTTGATTCTTTGATGGTTGCCTCCGGATGGGAGGGACCCTTTTTTTCGTCTGTCTATTACATTCTTCTAGACTTTCTTTGAGCTGTTTGATCAGATTCATCCATGAAGATCCTGTATGGCGCTTTGTACCCAAAAAAAAAAGATGCAGGTTTCCGTGAGCATGTACATAAAGTCAAGTAACTTAAGGAAGACAATTCCTAGTTACTCTACTCTACTAAGCCATGTCACAACACCAAGCCACAATGGCTCCGGAAAGCCACATCAGAGGACCCCTCCAAGAATAAGCCGATGGGAGGTGTCACCGTCCCGTGTTCGCACTCCAGAACAAAGAGAATAAAGGCCGACTACACGGACGGCTCACTCGGTGTAACGGCGTCGGGATAGGAGCTGTCGCGTTATAGTTTCCGGCTTTAGATATTTTATATATGTGTGTGCATACTGGTAATAACAAGTCATATAATTAAACTCCTGCGCCGATGTATTTTCTGGTGCAACTAAAAGTGAGGAACCATACATAGACAAAGAAACAAAGTGGGTAAAGCTGTCATTGAACTGCTCCATAATATGTGCCGTATCATGCGTGACTGATCTCCACTACGGGCTGGATCCTTTCCTTCCTTCTCTCTCGTTTATTATTATTTTAAATATCCCGCCTCATCTTTCGGATGGGCGCATTTCAGATCTAAGCCCGTTTGAGCATCACGAGTCTTGTTTGGGCACGCTAGAGGTTGGGGCTTATCTAACGTTTGTTTACGGGTTATGCTTTTCCGGGTGTGTTTTGAATCCTGACGCCCTCGGGCTTTGGGGTTCGGATTCGGAGGGATATAATAATCTTATTATGAGCTGTCTCTGTCTCTTGGGTACGGACAGTTTGATACGTAAATATATGTATATACCTGATTTCATGGGATGGTTTTAATCTGGAAAGGAAACACTCGCTAATCCGTAACAAGACAATGCTCGTTCCGGTCTGTCAGGGACAGCGCAGGTTTTCCAAGGGGAGAGAGGAGAAGGAATAGATCTAGATCTGATAAATGAAACGAAAATCTGCATGTAGATGCTTTAGGAGGCCTTCACCCCCTGGACGTCTATTTGAAAACCAACCAGTCTTTGAACATGCCATGCCCCTCGGGACAAGGACAAGGCAAGGACATCATACCATGTCAGACCCTGGCCTTAACAACCTAGATATGTAGGTAATCAATCAAGGACTAAAACTCAAACTCGAACTCAAACTCGGCCCAATAACTAGAACCCTGAAACTATAATAAATGTTACTCTGCCATTCAAACTCGGCATTTGCTTTCGTAGGCATAGCCTAATGAACGCTTAGAAGAACAATCCCCGGGACTAAGCGAGTCATCAAGGTTATAATAATATAGAGCCAAACACCTAAATACCTACAGTACTTACCATACCAAGGGCTATATTATAGCCTCATATAGCATCTATTCCCATCCTACCTTATAAGAGCCGAGATAACTTGGCCTGACCCGACCACGCGAATTTAGGGTAGTTCGCACTGACAACGCAATAATTACTCCTTTCAGCAACGACGTAACTCCGGACATCCCGATCTCGAAACGAGTTTCCAACTCAGCGGAGAAAAAGAGTGATCGGAAACAAATCTTATTCACTCACCATGGCCGTTGAACGATTCTGCCAATGGCGAACGCTGCTGCCTTAGTTTCCTATCAATTGCCTAGTGTGTGGTCGCCTCTTGATAGGAAACCTCTCTCTGGGCGACGGGGGAGCAGGTAGGCGGTTTGTAGATTTGAGTGCGCCTATCTGGTAGTAGATTGCTCATTGCGTGCCTTGTTAAAGTTTGGACGGAAAGCATGGACGGTTTCTCACCCGGGACCCACAAGCCCATGAGGCCGACGGGATGAGCCTCTCGGGGGGAATGTTGTCCCGTATGCGAGCTTGGGCTTTAGGGAGTCAGTATGTTTGTCGTTGGATTTTTCAAACAAAGAGAGACGTACCTTTTTCTATTCTTAAGAATATTCGAATCCAGGTGGTCATACGCGAAGAGAACAGCTTTCTTGAAAAGAAGGCACTGCAAAGAAAGTCATACCTTGGATATTCTGATATCGAAGAATCCCTAATATATCCTG